TTGGGTGGTATTGGGTTGTTATTAGTATGCTACTAAGTCATACATGATGAACAGCAAATCATAGATAACCCAACATAAGTTATCATAAACATACCAATGATAAGACATCTAGATGTGTCTGCTTCGCAAAGTAATGCCAAAACAAATCTCTTAGTTTAGACGGTTATTTTAGCTGTTCTATACGCTACTTCGACATGGAGTAGTGCATTGAAATATAAGCATTAAATAAAGAAATATGCTTAACTCCATTAATAGAAATCTAGATAACTAGGTTTAGACACAAAATAATATGATAAAAACAAAATATCAATCACAAGATGCGAGAGGATACGATTAAATTATTTCCTTGTGTTCATTTTGCTGATGTTTGTACAACTGTAATTAAAACCACTCGTTATTTGTGGTACAATATTGTTGAATTCGATATTTTTGTGTACACACTTAATGAAGATAAAAAGAAAATGAAATTATACGTGTAACGAATCGTAAATTGCTTTATGTTCTTGTTTTCCTAATCTTTTCTAAAGGGTAAAGGTTTCAGATAACCACCCTCAGTTGTAGCTTTCAAGATTGGTTATTTACGAGTACCTAATAAATGTCAACATTGCAGCGCGTTTCTGGGATAAACATAATGTTTAAAAATGGATTGATATTTCGTTATTGAGCATGTCTTTATATACTAATAAAATACAATGTCAATTCCATTATAACAATATCCGAACAATAACAAGGCTTTAGGTCAGAAAGGTCCTGTTCAGATGCTGTATCCGTGATGAGACAAGTCGTAAATCTGCTATAAACCGCGGAATACCGACAAATATAGTTAAAACAACTATTCGGAATACAGCATACAAGCACGGATAAATGGAAAACTTACTAAGGAAATACCTGTAAATGTATTTCCTAATCACTACTATTCAATCCTGTGGTGGATGAAATCATAGAAAAGTCAAGATGGACATGAAGCTACATAATGGGTGATCAAGAATTTGTGATTTTCTGTTATGCTGAAGACGCGGTCCTCTTTGCGAAAAATCGAGAGCGATCTACAGAGGAACTTACAAGCATTTAACAACATAGCGAAACAATTCAACATGTCCATTGCTACACAAAAAACTAAATGCATGACAACAGCGAAAGAGCAACTTCGATGTAAGCTGGAAGTGAACCAGAACATAATAGAGCAGGTCATGATGTTCACGTATTTGGGAGTTGAACTATTAAGTTATGGTAATATCGAAGAGGAAGTATCCCAACAAAACAGGAAAGCCAGGAAAATCGCAGGCTGCTGAAACCAGACATTATGGAGGAACAAACATGAGTCAAAACTGATATGACTCATACGGCTGAGGCTAGACTTAACACGTCTAAACCAAAACGGATATTGAAAACAACAGAAATGAAGATACTTTTCAGAATCACCGGTAAAACTCTATATGATAGAGAAAGAAGCGAAGACTTAAGAACATTACGTGGAGTGCAAAATATCAACAATTGAATACATAAACTGAAGAAAGAATAGAATGCATATACAGGGTGTGTCAAATGTCTGGAATATAGCCAATAACTTCGCCATTTGTGGTTTTAAAGAAAAATGTTTCAAATAAAAAATTCTTTATTAATTGTGGATACTTGCTTGTTTACATTGTTCTTTATTTCGTTGCTATGGCAACCAACATTGTTATTTTAAATGCACATGTGTTTATGCACATGGATGCATATGTTTTTTTTGCACAATTTAATAGAGAATAAACTTAACCCCTCTACGCGATGAACATATCAAATTATATGGTTGTATAAGAACAAAATCGAGAAAAAATGCGTTCTCTGAAAATATACAGGGTCATCCACGACTACCGTCCATTAGAACTTTACAGGGTTCTGGCCAAAATTAAAATTTGAAAATTCAGATTTAAGTATTATCAATTGCGTTCTCTTCGACGAACATATTTTCAGATATCTAACACTTTCGGTTATACCGGAAGTCGCGACCTACTTTATTTTTTTAAATGGAACACCCTGTATATTTTTACATATTTGGATTTGTCTGTTTCCAAGGTTTATAAATGACTTTACTTTTTGCAATTTGATTCGGCCGTTCTCGAGTTATTCCAATTTTTCTAGAAAAATCTGCTCCAGCAGACATTTGTTCCAAAAATCAGAGAACACTCGCTTTTTGGGATATCAATTTAGGATTCAGAACATGCTTAAGCAACATGATGGAGTATGTTTTGGTGCCGAGTATGGCTGCCTAGAACGTTTGGTCACTTTACTATGGCACGTTACTTTTTCGAAACTTGGAAGTACCATAACTTCATTTTTTTAAATGGCACCCCTCATATTTTATTACTTAGTCGTCTTCGGTGTCTTCTTTTATATCCGATATGTCCTATACCTAACTTTTATAGTTTGGGAGATAATTAGGGTTTTTTGAAAAATGCACACACATCGATATTTAACCTAGTGTGTCATGATTGTCATGAATCATGAATACCTAGTGCAACCTAGTGAATAACCGGATGAAGTGAAAGTTTGAAAATTTGTAAACTTGTGATGTTTGATGCCAGCTTTTCAACTAAAGTATTTTTAGGTTCCGGGTACTTGTGGTTACACCGAAAGAGGTGACAATTTTCATATTTCAAATGGAACACCCTGAGTTTTATTACATTTTTCAATCAAAAATGTCAACTACAACGTTACTTTTTATAATTTATAAATCATCTAGTTTGCCCGCAGGAAAAAAAATTTGGTGTTGTGGAATGTTGTTGTGGTTATGTATTATCAGAGGATCAGCAAGGACAGAGTAAACAGTTTGACATTTGCTAAAGCTATGGTTTATTTCTGTTGGTGTGATGACTAAGTTACTTTTTGTAGTGATCTGTTCTCAAGAAATGCCACATTTGGAATTTACTAATGAGGATTATTTGAATTTGATAATAATTTATGGAGAGTGCAACCAAATAATTGCGTATACGTGTCGGCTGCAACACACAAATGGCCTAAAATTGAACAAAAATATCAAAAATGTAATGAAATACAGGGCTGTTCCATTTGAAATATGAAAATTGTCACCTCTTCCGGTGTAACCGCAAGTACCCGGAACCTGAAAATATTTTACTAAAAAGCTGGCATCAAACATCAGAAGTCTGCAAATTTTCAAAAGGCCACTTCATATGGTTACACACTAGGTCACACTAGGTATTCATGGCACACTAGGTTAAATATCGATATGATATGTGTGCATTTTTCAAAAAACCCTAATTATCTCCCAAACTATAAATGTTAGGTATAGGACATATGGGATATAAAAGATGTAAAATGAGACACCCAAGACAACTAAGTAATAAAATATGGGGGCTGACATTTAAAAAAATTAAGTTATGGTATTTCCAAATTTCGAAAAGTTAACGTGCCGTAGTAAAGTGACCAAACGTTCTAGACGGCCGTACTCGGCATCAAAACATACTCCATCATGTTGCTTACGCACGTTCTGAATCCTAAATTGATATCCCAAAAATCGAGTGTTCTCTGATTTTTTTAACAAATGTCTGCTGGAGCAGATTTTTCTACAAAAATTCGAATAACTCGAGAACGGCCGAATCAAATTGCAAAAAGTAAAGTTATTCATAAACCTTGAAAACAGACAAATTCAAATATGTAAAAATATATAGGTGTTCCATTTAAAAAAATAAAGTAGGTGGCGACGTCCGGTATAACCGGAAGTGCTAGAAATCTGAAAATATTTTAGTCGAAGAGAACGCAATTAATAATACTTAAATCTGAATTTTCAAATTTTTGTTTTGGCTAGAACCCTGTAAAGTTCTAATGAACGGTCGTCGTGGATGACCCTGTATATTTTCAGAGAACGCATTTTTTCTCGATTTTTTTCTTATACAACCATATAATTTGATATGTTCATCGCGTAGTTTATCCTCTATTAAATTGTGCAAAAAAAACATATGCATCCATGTGCATAAACACATGTGCATTTAAAATAACAATGTTGGTTGTCATAGCAACGAAATAAAGAACAATGTAAACAAGCAAGTATCCACAATTAATAAAGAATTTTTATTTGAAACATTTTTCTTTAAAACCACAAATGGCGAGGTTATTGGCTATATTCCAGACATTTGACACACCCTGTATAGAAAGAATGGGACAAGATAGATTAGTGAAAAGCGGTTAAATCGCCGTTAGGTAAACGAAGTCTAGGATGGCCAAGGAAAAGATGAAGCGACCATTTCCGTACAGAATAGAGGCATCATTGACGAAGAACAGGCTTTAAGCCTGAGTGGAGAAAGAAGAAGAAGAAAATACAATGTCTCTATACAATTGGAATTCTTAAATAAAAGTGTATATGATTTTGAAGCTAGTTTTCAATACATCCATTTATTAACAGAACAAATTAAAATTATGCATGAGTAACATCATGTATAATTTCAAAAAATTCTTTCTCCGTGGTACTGTTTGATATGGAAATTGTGCTAATTGTTTTAGCTGCAAACTCCCTAGGGTTAGTGGTAGAGTTCTACACATTTCTACTAGAGCAGAAATAATAACTTTATCCACAATTATGTATGGTTTGAAATAATGTGCCAGAGTTTGCAACAAGCCACAATGAAACGCCACTTGGTGCTCTTATTTGAAATTATTACTTTCCAAAATTCTATATTCTTTACGTTAATCAAAAAATATACATAAATACTTGACAACATCCGAACTATCTGGATATGTAAGTTATGATTATTAACCTCGAAATACCTAAAATATCAGAAACGATATCAAAATCAACAAGATTTTTTTTCCGGTTGTATTAGACCTCAAATTCCACGCCATCATCATTAAATCAGTTCAATTCTAAATAATTATCTTTTATGACGCCCAAAAATACTGGATTTAAATTTCAATTTTAGTGGGCGTATTATCAAAATTTATTAATAACTATAAAATGATAACGAATAATTAGATCTATTAAATTTTATTATTTTATTTTATAGAACGATGGACCTGGAAACGCCAACGACGGTGAAGTCCAATTGGATGATGAATGCGCCAAAGTATTCGCCATGGATTCCGATACAAGATTCGACGTTGAACAACTTCACGATTCACCACCGGGAGAAAGAAAAAATTTTGGTGAAAACGAATACTCGTGTAAGCAAAAATTTATAACAAATTCGTTATGTAATAAAAAAATAACCTTGGATGTAATCAAATTATTATGTATTAAATGAATCGAATTACTGTATCAAATTAAAACAGATCGATTTTCAAGATTAAAAGATAATTTTTTTACACTTTTATGATCTTTTCTTTATTTTTAATTTTCTTAGTGCATCGTAAAACAAATTACCCTCATATGCACGCTCCTATCAAACCTCCAAAATCGACGAAACGACGGGGAAGTCAACAAGATGCAGAAGAAGACGTCGGAGGTGGTCAAGATACACCCTCTGTACAATCTCCAGATTCAAATACACTAACTTCCGGTACAACTCATACGCCAACGAGTGTCCGATCGCCCGTTTGTAAAATCACCGATTCCGATACTGGATTGCTATCCTCATTTACAGTCGCCGAAGAGGATGACACAGCATTAAGTTCCGGCTCGGAGTACATACTTTCAGATCCGAGCAGTTTCCGTAGTCCTCCGGATGAATCCCCTGACCGGAAGGTACAATTTCATAATAACAATGGAACAATTCCCGAGGATTCCCAAATCGATGGAAATGATGATAAGAAACATCGACGAAGGTAAGCAGCTTTATTTATTGGGGATATTTTTGAGATTGGATTGAGTTTTCGATTTGTTTAAATAATTTCGTTTTATTGACGTCTTTTCATAAATTATAGAGCTATTTCAAAGTTGATTTGTTAAATGTTTTTTAAACATTTCTTGTTGCTTTAAAAAATTAACATTCCAAATCTGTCTAGATTTAGAATGTTTTTGTTGTTAACACTATTATTGATGTGAGGTATTTATAGATTTATCGAGTTTTATTGATTATTAATCATGCAAATAATGCGTATTTGACGTCGAAAATGATTAAGATCTTAATTATCTTAATCATAACCAGGTTATTCTTTAATAAAATACATACAATAAAATTAATCAAGATTTTAGCTCAAACATAATTCAATTTGGGGGGTGGGATAACTTTACAATCAATACCGGAACGAATATAAGCTTTAGAAAGGATATTGATTGACGAAACGTTTGAAAGAGATTTACTGCAGTAAACGACCATTACTCCCAAGAAATATTGACGCGAATACACACAATGTGAACTGAACGAACACTTATCGCTAAAACACCAACGAACATAGTAACCTTAAATAATGATGATGTCTTGGAAGGGAATATTCTGGATCTCGTAGGAAAACGTTTATTTTTCAAATATAACATTTCCATAACTATCTATGAAAATAGTATTAATTTTTTCGCAAAACTTGTACTAATAACCATTCTATAATTATGTAACATCTTAAAATAATTTTAGGCGCACAAATATTGTTTTAACATAAATGCTGTTTCAAGCAAAGAAATTGTTGTTGCAACAAATTGATTGTTTCTTGAGTTATGTAGCAAAAAACACCCCCTTTCTGCAACCACATATGCTAAAGATCCCGAGCGTTGCCATAAATACCAGTTACCATGTTGCTGTAGCAACGAAAAAGCATGACCCCATCACGCCGCCACCATAAAACCCACCCCAAACAACAACTCCTTGGGGATGCATTAATATCTCGTGCATATTGCGACAATTTTCGAAATACCAGATGGGAAAATTTTGTTTGTTTACAAATATAACCAATTGAAGTTGCGTCTAAAATTTTCCTTTTCAAAGTGATAATCGATTTAATGTTGCCGCTTTTCCTTAATTAATGTTTTTAGCGGTACTTTAGCATTTGTGTTGAGTTTTATATACGTCACTACACCTCCTTCTTTAAATTTTTAAAATATACTCCGAACTGTAAAGTCATTCAGTGCAGCTTCTCAACCAATTCCACGAAGTTGTTGAACCATCTTTGTAAAATATCCATTAAATTTGTGATTCGTGTTAATAATAACGCATTACTCCTTCATATAGGATTAGGATTGGCAACACAAAAAAAAATTGGGGCAATATTTAAATCCAACACTTAATTTGGTACAACTATGGATGAGTAAGCAATATTTTTTACAATTTTCATTACTGTTAAGAATTTAAGAACATTTTTTGACTGCATAGGTTACGGTTACACTATCACTAGAACTAACACCTAGAACTAGAATCATTCGGGTTTAGCCATGCGTCTTTTGAAATATATAGCATTTCGTATTTACATTTAGCCAACTTTTGAGATCTGGCAGCAACTTACACGCCCTGGCATTAATAATTTGGACGTCAACAGCGTTCAGTTAATTTATTAGGTATTAAATAATTATATAGATTTATAATTTATGAATAATGATTTATAATATTTCAACTTCTATCATTTTAAAAAGAGAGAACATCGAAAAAGTACCTAAACGAAAACATTACGGGAAGAGTAAAATAAGTCGGACAATAAAAATGGAAAACAAAATATGACAAAATACGAAAGGAGCTAAACATAATACCCACATATGAAGCAACAAGATCACAGACACAAAACAAAAAATGTACGCATATATTATCTGCGAATCTATTATGATTCAGAGTAGCAAAAGAAGTCTATTAAAATCATATTGTTAAAACTGGTCTATGAACAAAGGAGGAGAATGGTTCTAGTAGTAAGAATATAGAAAAGAAAATCAAAACATAATGAACGAAATAGAATAAATTCTATTAAGAAAAGAGAAGTACAAAATATTTATTGCATTAACCTTTGTAAATGAAGTAGTAAACCTGAAAGCAAATTGAGTATACAATGCTTGTGAGGTCGTCCTGTCAGTGTGTGCAGCATATAAAATTTTATAAACGAAACATGTCACAACCTCACCAATATGTATTTGTAGTGAACGTTGTTAAGATCAATTTAGAACCAAAATGCATTGGTTGACATTGTAATTATTAAAATAAAGAATTGGACTTTTTGTAATGGATAGTTTATTATATTTTCGTTCTACCGGTTTCCACTCAACTTAGAGTCATCTTCAGGACACGTCACAGTTTGAACTAAAACCATGGTACTATTATTGAACATTTGTTCATGATTAAAAAGCAGTAAGGATATCAAGAACTTAATAATTGCGTAATTATGGGTGGATGTGATGATCGATGAATTGGCTGACCTCGATCATCACATCCACCCATAATTTCATTACCCTGATTTCATTAACAGTAATGAACAGGTTGGTCGAAAATAACTTGCAATGTCTTTATGAAGATTAGTCAGCAAATCAACCGTTACCAAGATAAAAATGATTACACTACATTATAACAATAATAATAATAAATAGTAATAATTTGTGTTATCGGTTATTATCATGGTATTATTGCAACGTACTATAATTATTATTGAATATGTTCAAAATGTCCCTAATAGCAAACGTAAAGTATCTATGATGCCTCGCCAGATGTTTAGACTAAAACGCTGTTGATATTTGGTTTCAAAAACTTCTCAAGGATTCTTGTCAGACCACACATGATTATTATGGAAGTTGAATATTCCAGTTCTGGTGAAACCAGTTTCATCAGTGAACAGAATGTTAGTTAAGACGTCTGAGTTTTCAGCAACTTCCAATAAAAACCGTTGACAGAATGTCGATCTTGCGTGGTTATCCGGAGTAGTGAGCATTTACACACGTTGGATATGGTAGAGATAAATGAGCTGCTCACGAAGAGTTCTCCAAACAACATGTGCACTTGTACCCACTTGACCCGAAATTCTGACACATGTTTCATGATTTTCATCCATTGCATTTAAAAGTTATTCTTCTATCTCTGGCGGACATATGAATCTCTGTAATCCGCTGTCATAAGACGTTTTTTCAAAGGATCCAATTTCTTTTAGACGGTGAAAAACCGCTTGAAACATTACATGTGAAGGCATAAAAAAGTGCACTCAAAGCATTCCCATTGACACGACCATGCATAGGGAGAACGGTGGCTTGATTTCAATCATGTGAAAACTTTTCCTTTTGTCAATTAAAATATTTCCATGGCACAGCAAGTAAAACGATGACTATTCGTAAATAATAAGTAATGTTCTGTCACTTGCTTTCTGAAGAAGAAGTAATTTCAGGCGAAGCAGTACTGATGTTAAGTGAACCTTGAATTCGGGCAAACTTGTCGAAATTTTCATTTTCAAAATGTTTCTCAAACCAGTTAATTAACTATGTCCTCAAACATAGTTTTTATATCTTTTGAAAAATCATTTAACGTGAAAAATTGCATCTTCTCTTGTGTTTTTATAAAAACTTATATTTTTCCATTGGCTTCAAAATGTGTATGTTTTTCCTTGAAGAAAGAGATCAAGGGAGTTTACATTTTCAAAAAACATCACCAAAATATTCTGCATCTTTGTATCATTCTTCTTTAAGGGAAATAAAAACTACGTGCCACAATTTAAAAGTGTATGATAAAACATTACCACATGAGAACGTGCACTGCTATAGTACAATAAATACGAGTGTTCAGGAAGTAGGAATATGGGAGATTTCTACAAAGCTTTTTAAAAAACTTTGCTTTTGATTTTATAAAATTTACCACATTCAGCATACATTGTAACACCTTTAGTAAAGAGCTTAGATGCTTTAACACAAGCTCTTCTTTATGAGTGAATCTACAGTACATTTCGAGATCTGCTTTGAGTAAGTCTCCTGTATTCTTCATAGCAGCCAGATATGAAGTGAGCTCCATCAGTACAGACACCAACATATTTAAACCAATTGACATTGTTTTCAGATATGAATGTACCAAGATATCTCAATCAAATGAGCATTTTTACTGTTATCCGTAGCCTCATCTAACAGCAATCCAAATTCGACTCTTTTTTTTCAATTACTTGATAGTTGGTATCTTCCGACATATATTATGTTGTATTCTCCAGCTAATTGTGTTATTAGACAAATACACTTTTAAATGCAGCTTCCCAGCAGACTCAATAATCAGGGTGTTTACCATATCTACAGCACCTGATTGTATAAGTTCTTCTACCATGACATAAGGCATCTTACATTTCGATTCTGCAAGCCACCTTGTAAGATGCTAACAAACCGTTGTTTGGTATTGATGCAGTTTTAAAAAATGTATTTTTTGTTGTTTCAGTTCTTTTAACTTCCTGACAAAAAATTCCCAATCATTCTGTGGTAATTAGCTTCTAGATTATGTTTCAATTTACTTGGAAACGTACACTCAGCTTGCAAACGTTACATACACAATACACATTGTCTTTTTGTACTATTAATTCTTATTGACGTAAATGCGTAAATTTGAACTCTAAATAAACTAAACCTCTAAATAATAGTGATACACACTCATACCAGTAGTTGAAAGGAAATTTTCTTTATCAGCACTATTATTATTACTGCTCAAAAATGAGTACTTTATGTTATAATTACATTGTTATCAAAAATACAAGTACCAAAAATCACAAAACTACCTATGTATCTGTCAAATTTATGTCAGTAGTCTTAAATTATAAGTCGATTGACTGAATCCTGCTATTCCCAAGGCGCACAATTTGGGAATTACTGGCTTAAGATAAACTATTGGTAAATAAGATAATGTGATATCAAGAAAGACATTAAGAACATTCAAGTGAAATGGTTGTGAGACATCAAAATGACCAAAACAGTGTCACATTTAATTATGACGATTTAGAAGATCTTTATGAAGATTAATACATTGAGCTTAATTAAATCTCGAAATCAAGCCTTTTTATGTTTATACATCATTATAATGCATTGTAAAAATCGCGAGACAGTAAAGTTAAATAAATAAATTCCAATGTAGAATATTTACTGAAATTTTCATTGTTCCAAATCGATTTTTTAAAAATCTATGAATTCGTTTAACTTTATAACCTTCATTTTTATTGTCTTTGTTTATATTTCAGTTATCCACCAAAATTTGTTTATCTGGATTTGAATAATGCTTGTGTTTGTTTAAACTGCACATTTACATTATTATCCGGAAATTTACATTTTTTTTGGAGTAAACTTGATTTTATAACTCAAAATCCTCAATTTTGGTGAAAAATATCTCTAAATTCTTCTGTAAATAAAAGAAAATCTTGAAGTTTATGAAGATAAAACGTGTATTGATCTCCAAAAATAGATTTGTAATAAAAAAAAGTTTCCTATCGTTCTTATTGTCACTAAAGTTTCCGATTGACTGCGATTCAATCGAGATGTTACACGTGGGGTGTCGGTAAAACAACCCCGGGAACGATAATATAGGTAAGAACTAATCGATTTCGGCCCGAGAGAGAAACCCCGGGACAGGAGGAGTCCAGAAACGGTTATTTTCCGCCTCCGGATTTACAGCGCGAGCCTTCCCATCTAAACATCCCCGGGGACTCGTCTCTCGTCCGAAACGATTTTTTGGGGATGATAAAATATTGAAACGAAAAAGACAGAACTAAATACATTTTATGTAACTACAAAAAGATTATGAAAGATATTAAATTTTTTAGGCGTTGAAAATAAATACAAATATTATTAGGAATTGTTATTATTTTCTTTAGCTCGTCAATATACGTGATCGATTGGTAAGTAAAAATTTAAAAAGAAAATGTTTAAAAGGAAATGCTGCATGTGATCGTTTTTAATTTTAATTTGTTTGGTTGCCGCTTTTTAATCGAATTTAAATTGTTAAATACAGTAAAACCTCGATATGACGGATTAATACGTTATAGCCAAAAGACCGTTATATCAATAATTTTAATGCACACAAATTCGGACAGATATCCACATTGTTGCTTTCAGTCTACGTGGCTTTATAGTTATTTATATCAAGGACAGTAGAATCTAAGAGGACTACTACATCCCAGGAACAGGTGCATAGCTCGAAGGTCCGTTCGTGACGTCAGCGCTCAATAACAATTACTACACTAGACCTAGAACTAGAAACTTTGTTGTTCCTTTCTTGATGGACGGCTAAATCAGAATATTTCTTGTTCTAAGTCTAGTGTTAGTTCAATCAAAATGTACAACAATTTAGCGATGAATAACAATTAAAACTAGAACTACCGTCCTAGATGTATACATCGTATAGACAACTCGGGGAATACCCCGAATTTATCTATGAACATGAAATAGACCAACTTGAGGAATAACCCGAGTTGGATTCTATCTATAAGCTAACATTTATATTTAAATATACTGATATATTAAATAGATAATATTAATAGTATGACTTAAAAATATTTTGTCCGTTATATCTAAAGTCCATTCTTACGAGAACTGTTATGTCGAGGTTTTACTGTAGGTACATACATAAAGAAATCAATTTATGGGTTTTAATGAAAAAGTCCGAATCAATCAAAAGCTTTCAATTTACGTTTCAACGAAAATTGACCTTAAATTGGAAATTAACGAAATCCTCTTCATTTCAATCTGTGCAGAATCGATTTTCACATCATCGATTACGGATTTGTTGTTGCTAAAAAAAAATGGTTTTCTCCATTTTAACATCCTTGGATACAATCTATTTTAATTAGACCCAAGACCAAATTTAAATTTAATTGTCGCCAGTGGGCACTAAATTGATTCAGCTGCCAAAATTCCATTTTCATTTAACCTTTATCCAGTATCAAATTTAAAACATTATTGTCCGAGAGAGGCTTAACATGTTAATACAATTGTTTTTAATCTTAAAAAAAATAAACAAAAATTAGTACCTTTTTGATAATGCCAGTCACTTACGGTACTAGTGACGATGCAAGAAGACGGTGAGTTAACTAAAATAATATATATTTTTTTAATATTTTTAGTTTTTATAAATCACATTCGATACATCATCCTCGATGGTAAGAAAATAAAAAGAATGTTTGAATTGGTAGCAAAAAAAAATGCAATTACCATATAAATGCAGTTGATAAATTAGCTTTTTAGCAAATTACTTTTTGAGATACTAAGCTAGTTACTTACTTTAACAAATTAATTCCTACTTTTAATTAAATTAACGTCCCCTTTTACAGCCGTCACCATCACACGCACCATTCCAAGCTTCGAAAGTATTCGCTTCCTGATGATCCTAACAGAGGGAAGACGAGAAGGGTTTCCACCCAACCCGAAGATTTAAATTTAAAAGGTGCCGATAGAGATCAATTGGAAAGTCATCGATCTGATGATCCACGAGCTTTACGAAGACATAAAGCACGAGCAAGCAACGCTGGGTTGGTTCATGTTGGAAGAAAAGATGGGGTGGAAACTATGCAGAGTATTTATTTCAAGAAGATGTACGATCACAGTCCGCACGCGGTAAGTTAATTGTTGAATGTTTTGCAAATTAAGAACGAGTGGCGAATTTTAATTGGGATTTATTCTATTTTCGGTGTTTTAATTTAATTTTTCATTTATATTCATGACAAAATCGTCACGTTCAAATCATTTAAATTGGATTTTATTTTTATCACTTATATGCGAACGCGAGAAGAAATTTAATTCCTACCTTTTTAAATGGAGTCATTTTGAGGAAATTTAACTTTAAGGAAATAGTTCTAATTTTTTGAAAAATGATATAAATTTGTCTAACCTACGATGATAATACATTTAACACTTATAAAATTTAAATTGAATGTTAATATCACTTTATTGGAATTAAATATGGCTTAACAGAAAGCTCTTCTAACTTTTTTTATGTTTTTGATGTTTAACTTTCAATCGCTATCGTTATTTTTAGATACGTATTTACTTTGGGTTTTTATTTGACCTCCAACTAAAATTTTAATTATGGAAAGTATATAAGAGATATATATAGGTTAGGTGTTTTGACAAAAGTGTATCGTTTTCTCTGGTACTGATTCCTCAGTAATATATACTCGTTTACAATAACAATATCCACTATTGGAAAATTCTATTGGTAATGGGCAACGAGAACATTTTATTTTTAATAAAGCACACACTTCTGATCTGAAGTATATACACCCTTTATTGAGTTGTAAAATAATATCACTTTCGTTATACAGGCTGTTTCATGAGGAATGGTACATACGTTAATATGTTATAAATTTGTTCATTTTAAGCAGAAAAGTTCCTAAAAACATGTGCTTAATTCTCACAGGTAACTGAGATACAGCCAGTTAATGCATAAACTGATTTATTTAAATGTGTACATAAAATATCGAAATTCGGACTTTAAAGGAAGGGTTGGAATATCCCATCGCCTAACTCGATGCACTTGGCTGATCTCTTGAAGATATCACACACTGCGCTGCGTAATTTATCCTGATGTGCCTTGATTCGTGCAGCACTGGCCAAAATATGAGTGATTAACTCATCACACGTGTTTACTTGTACTTGATATACATCGCTTTTCAGCCATCCCCACATTCCGTAATCTAACGGATTAAGGATTGCTTAATCTTTTAACTGGTTGGACCCCCACGACCAATCTACCATTCCGCAAAGGTTTGGTTCAGGTATTGCGTCATTTGACGCAACGGCCCTATCATACTGGAAAAACATATTGGCACAGGTAACCAAAGGAATATGTTCTAACAGTATTGGAAGCTCATTGCACAAGAACTCTAAATATCTGTCAGCTGTTAAACGCTTGGGTAGTACGAAAGGCCCAATTAAGTTATTGTCAATCATTCCACACTATACATTCACAGAAAATTTTACCTGAAAATTTGTTTCAACACTGGCATGCGGATTATCCTCAGACCAACGGTGATCATTTCGATTGTTATTGATTCCATTACGGGTGAAAGTGACTTCATCGGTAAAAAGTATCACAGGAACTAAGCGGCGGTTAGATATTACCCATCCACGAAATTCCAATATTTTGGCAAAGTCTGTTGGTTCAAGGTGTTGTACTGGTTGAACATGAAATGAATACAAGCCATGAGTACGCAATGTTCCCAATACTTTTACATGTGGAACACCAAGACGAGCAGAAAGTCTTCTTGTACTGGTAGATGGATTGCGTTCTACCGACTGAAGAATTTGTCTTTCAATTTCTTCATTCAGAGTTTGGACACCTACACGTTGAGAATGAATACTTGTACTTGGAACAGAACCGGTTTCATGCAATCTGTTGAATGTTCGAGTAAATACTCTTGAATATGGTAGCAATCGGTTAGGAAACCGTCTCCTATAGTCACGACGAGCAGCACGTGCATTTCCATTGCAGAAACCGTAACAAAACACCATATCAGCATATTCTACATTATAATTTCTACATTATAATTATAATTTTCAATATGTGTGGCATTATCAACAACTTAGTCGACACTTCAACCAAATAATGAGAATTGAGCACATGTTTTTAGGAACTTTTCTGCTTAAAATTAACAAATCTATAACATATTAACGTATGTCCCATTCCTCATGAAACACCCTGTATACAATTTTTATCGTAGTGCATGGATAAGAAGAAGATTACGGATTTACTTTTGGTTTGGAACGTACGATATTGTAGTCGTATGTGTATATGATACTGCAAATGTTTGATACCTATTAATTGTATAAAGTTACTATGAAATGTATACAACGCTGAAATAATTTAGGAAATGTTTAAAGTAATTTATCAAAGTTTTTTTAATACACACTCGGGTGCATCAATCTTTCGATTTCCACATCTCTTCATCAATATCGTCTCTCTAACTCCTCCGTGGTCTTCCTTTTCTTCTTCTTCCTTATGGCGTCCAGTGCAGCACTTTCTTTGGTAGTCCATCTTGACCCATTGGTTTGTACATGGCCATACGATCTAATTTGAGTACTTATGTTACCTAAAACGTCATGTTTCATGACAACCTTTATGTCTTCGTTTCTAATCCATTCCAGTCTGTTTTATCCTTTATTGGCCACTCTTTACAGCTATAGGTTATTATATGTACTTCTAATTATTGAGTTGTATATTTTGTGTTTGCTCTCTTTTGGTATATGTTTATCTCACAGTATACTGTTTAGATGCTTCAGATGAATGGATACTTCAGCTTTCTCAAGTATTCCTTTCTTCCATATGTTTACACCCTGGTGTTTGTATGAGCTGCAATGTTTGATGTTTTGTTTGTCATAGATAGGCAGATCTTGTTGTTTCAATACACATGCATTCAGTTTTTTGCAACTCAACCTCTAAGTCCCATTTATTATATTTTTCAATTAGTTTGCGTGTTATACATATATTCAGCATCATCAATATCCTGTGTAATCACAACTTGATCGTCAGCAAACTCCAAGGTGTAGAGTGTTGATGTTCTATTCATAAGTGTGCCTATATGTTTGGCATTTTCTTTTCCATATTAGTAATGCACTTTCTAAATAAATTTTAAACAGTGTTAGCGCTATACAACCACCTTATTAGATACGTTTTGTGTCTGTAAATTTAGCTGTTAAGGTATATCCCATTTATATTTATGCTCTTGCATTGATATATAAAGATTTTTTCACTTTTATTATTACAGTATTTCTGTTAGTATGTTATAAAGCTTCCTAGAGTTTTTTAGAGGATTTTTTAGATCTAGAAACAGCTTATGAATTTCCTTTTTATATGCTCTCTTTTTTTCGATGATTTGAGTTAATGTAAATATATGGTCAATTGTGGATCTCCCTGCTCTAAAGCGGACTTGTTCTTCTGCCTCCCACGTACTGCATTAACCTAGTCTAGAATTCTGTTTTTTAGTATTCTCTCATATATTCTGCTGATAGTTAGTATTGATTGCCGATATGCCCTGATATTTTTGGAGATGGATTGGATGTTTTTATTGCTTAATCTTTTACCCTCATTCCAATGTGAATTATCAATATTATCATTGTCTTGCATCCAAGTAATCAGTATGTTTTCAAAGACCTGATTAGATCTTTCTACACTTTCCTGACTTTAAGAATGCCTGAGCTTACCACTCCATACTTCTTTCATCATGCGATCTCTTCCGTTATGGTAAATTCTTATATATGCTTCGTGCAGAATGTCTAATATCTCGCTGTCACGTACGAAGTACAGTATATTGCTTCTAGTATCTCTTCCAATACCACTTTGTCTTCTTTAATATTGTTGATCTTCAATATAAACAGTATAGTACAATAACAGTATAAATAACAGTACAACTGCTAAGAACTTATCAACTTTTTAGACGTTACTAAATCGTTGCAAAATCAATCTTTCAAAATCGCAACGCGTGTTTTGTATACCATAATAAACGATAGGACGTGCATACGCAATGAATGTTTGAGCTATTGATGAACCGTTCAGTGATTGCCCTCCATGAATACATGAATGATTGATGTAATAGTAATCCTGAATTGAATACATTTTCGATTGTTGTTTAGGAAATGTATAGAATTCCTGGAAATATGTATAGTAAAATTTATTTCAAACATTTCCTGTCGATTTTAGGTATTATGCATATTTTCTTGGAATTCTATATAATAACCGACTACTTATATTTCCGGTAACATATCCACTATTTGATATTTTTACATAGGCAAATTTCATTTGGTCTTTCCCTAATTTCTTTTTAGGCCGTATTTTGAGGCTTTCTTATAAAGTACTTCTAAATGAACTTCGCCCACGAAACTCAACCAAAGGTTCTTAACAGTCAGAAATTTTGCAGGAGTGTAGGTTGAAATTGAGTTTTCGACAAATTTGTTGAACTTTTCTGATATAGCAGCTAATTTATTATCTATTAATTTTATAGTTTCTTGCAGTTTTGAATCATCAAATTTTAGGCAAGATAAAAAACAAAACTAATTTTAGATATTTAATCTTTTAGACAAAATATTAGTCTTCCTAAACGCTTTTGGCTTTATATATGATACAAACGTCACTATACTTTCATAAGATGACATCATATGTATACTATTAGAATTCGTATGCATTGGAACTGTGTGCATAATCTCTTCGTTTATAGAGATTATGTCACTGATAGTTACCGCTTCGTTTTTTAAATTCGAAATATTTTAACTGGGGTCAAATTAGATAGCACCCGTGGGGGCTATTTAGTTAATAGGGCCCCCACGATAGCAATTGAGGGTTAAAGCATTAAAAAGTAAAATTGATCGTATATTATATAAACCATAAGTAATTTTTCAAAACGAATACATTTATTGAAAACATTTTCTGGTAGAACTGTGTTACATGTCAATTATGACATTAAAAAAGGAAAGAAAAAATAAACTACATCAAATTGGCCTTACCATATTACTGAAACTTAATTGAAATTTAACTCCATGTTACTCACATCAAGCTCCATTTAACTCCGCTAATGTTGTGAAAGCTATTACACATTCTAAGTCTATTATCAAGTTTATATTAATTAGTGTTTTGTTGATGGAACGATAAACTTGTTTCTCTAAAATATTATTCGCAGGGAAGATCTTAAAGAAATATATGAATATAAAGACTAATTATTTTATATTTAGTTAGTCCTATCAGCTAAACTCTATTTAAACCTAATTTCAAAATGTTAATCGGGAAATACCAAGAGTTTACTTTAAAATATTTTTTGATCGGGGCAGCTATTTACGTTGTAAGGTAACACTTTTTTAAAACATAAACCTACGCAGATTTAATTAAAAGCCTATGATTGGAAAACCTCTATTGGGACTCAAACTCTGACAACAAGTTTAATAGGATTTGAAATCAAATCATTTCGGGAGAGAAACACCACATGAGTCCTTTTATATTCAAAATCAACCACCTAATTATTTAATTTACCTCGCTATTCTAAGGAAAATTTACAAATTTAAAAATCGTACATAGAAATATTCAATCTTAATAAAGAAGATTCGGAACTTGGGATTAGTGTTCAAGCTAAAGAAAACAATGTTAACTTGGCTACAAGTAAACAAATTTATTACACATTTTTAAACATATATCTTGTATAAATCATCTTTTGTACTGCTAAATATAACAGTTTCAGAGTCAGAGATGATACATTGTTGTAAAGGAAATAAACCTTGGTACAAAAATGTGAAGATATATTATTGACATACACTAAGTAATAACTCTGTCACTAAGAAACTATATACTGCATATTATATCTACGCTTCATAAACTGAAAGACCCAAACACGAAAGGAATATTTTTTACGACACTATTAAAGAAACCCTATACTAATATTAGAGGACCTTAATGGCCATATCAGAAAGGATGTTGATACCTTAATGATTGAGTTTTGTATTTTAAACGAACCCGTATTAATAATAACTTTTTTGACAATAAACTAACATAAATATACATGGATCGACAACAGAAGTCGAAAGTTGATTAGTGATTTTATATTAACGAACAAAATCCACACATCACATATATTAGACGTAAGAACGTTGACCTCTGCAATCGGTGAAATGAGTTATTGAATGGTACTTTGTAAGATAAATATAGATATAATCAAAGGCTGAAGTTAAAATATAACAATAGAAAAAATTAATACGGAAAGCTTAGAAGATCCGACCACACAAAATTTATATTAATCTAGATTATAAGCAAAATTGTCAGATATCCCACAGACAGAGAATCAAACTGCAGATGAAATGTGGAATTGAATGAAACTAAGTATGGAAAACGCAGCTATAGAGGCATGTGAAACCAGAAAGACAACAACAGGACCAACAAAAACCACCTGGTTTAAAGAAGTGATAAAGAAGATGACTCGAATGGAAAAGGAGGCGTTTTTAAAATACATAAGCTCACCATCAGAAAAGGAATTTAAAAGATCTCAAATAAGATCAAAAAGTGAAAACAGAAATAACGCTGACATCAAAATATCCTCAGAACAAGTTAGGGACAACATAAAGAATTTGAAAAATAGAAAAAGTCCAGGTCCTGATTTAATCACGAATGAAATGTTAAACTACGGTGAAGAGACACTTCAAGATCGAGTACACTTTTTAATAAAATCATAGAAACGGGTGATTTAGATCCAGATGCAATCTTCATTGTTAAGCAGATTACAGAAAAATCAATATCTCTCCCTTAAGAGTTAAAAAACAAGATTATTAACCCAACATACCCAACCGGTATACTATATGGCCGGTAATAATGTTATAGATGACATATACACTAACACTACCACTAAAACAAAAAACCACCCAAGACATAACTAAAGACATACCTGTGAGCAAAGAAATGAGACAAGGGGATTCACTAAGTCCTGTCCTATATAATCTACTAATGAATCGGATGATAGAAGCCATTAGACCCAAACCAGGATACCAGATGGGGACCCAAAATATTAATATCGTTTGCTATGCGGAAGACGTGATTTTAATTACAATTAACGAAGATGACCTGCATAGGTTAATGTATCTCTTCAACATAACGGCTAAGCAGAATGAAAATATCAACAGAGAAAACAAAATGTATGGTAATATCCAAAAAAGCAAGACGCTGCAAGCTGTAAATTGTGAACTAGATAGCAGAACAGGTTATAAATTTTAAATATCTAGGTGTTGAAATTATAAACCAGGATGATCTATGCTAGAGAAACACAACCCCAAGTTACAAAAGCGTCACGGATAGCGAATTGTCTAAAATGTCTAAGAGATACTGTATGGAAAAACGAAAATATACAGGTGATTTATTAGCTCACCATCAAACTTTGACATATGATAGCTAATTCAAATACAAAAAAAAAGTTAATGAACATATGTCCTATTTCAATTATTTACGAAATTATAACACTTTAAAGTTTTCTGCAGCGAATTTATTAATAGTCAATAAAATCAAACATTCAACAAAAACAAAGTTGTCATTGTAATATGTCAGTTTGCTGTAAGGTTTAATTATTAATTATTACATACAAGAAGAAATTCAAAATGTACGTTTATAGCACTGAAGAATATGCTGATAAGTGATATAATTTTCGTGTATGGTTTTTGCAATGGAAATGCTCGACAATCAGTACGAGAATATCAAGAAAGATTTCCACAGCGTTATTTGCCATATTATTCAGTTTTTAGCGATTCTTTCAGAAGACTTCGAGAAACAGGTAATCCTACTGCAGCAAAAGCTATTCGACCGCATATAATTAATGCTGTCATTGATAATCTTTCCATCAACACTCGAAAAATAGCACACAACATACATGTAAGTTAAAATTTTACATGGCGCGTATTTTTATGGGGTCAAATGAAACAAATTGTGTATGAAGTGGAAATTAACACACGAGAACAGTTATTAAACAGAATACAAATGGCTGATACTGAAATAAGAAATCAACCAGACATTTTNCTGGACGGATAAATCATGTTTTACACGAGATGGTATAAATAATTACCATAATGAACATATCTGGGCATTACAAAATCCGCATGCGATTAGACCAAGGAAATTTCAACAACGTTTCAGCATCAACGTTTGGGCTGGAATATTCAACAACAATTTACTAGGTTTGCATGTACTTGATGAATGTTTAAACGCTGTTGTAAATTAGTTTTTTTTGAACAATACACTTTTTGATTTACTTGAAGATATACCTCTTAATGTAATTCAAAATATGTGGTACCAGCACGATGGTACCCCACCTCATCGCGGAAGAGTAGTTGTCGAGTGGTCCATTTGCTTGGCCACCTAGATCCCCCGACCTTAATCCATTGGATTTCTACTTATGGGATCAAATGAAACAAATTGTGTATTAAGTGGAAATTAACACACGAGAACAGTTATTAAACAGAATACAAATGGCTGATACTGAAATAAGAAATCAACCAGACATTTTAATTCGGCTGAAGAACTCTTTCATTCGTCGTTGTGAAGTGAAGCATGTATTCTAGCAGAAGGAGGCTATTTTGAACAATATTTGTAATATTTATGTGTTTAAAAAAATGTAGCAGTTATAAATGATATAAAAATTAAAACTTTAAAGTGTTATAATTTCGTAAATAATTGAAATAGCTATCATATGTCAAAGTTTGATGCTGAGCTAATAAATCACCCTGTATAAACACGGTACGAACAATACTAATATATGGTGTTGAAATGACAGCAGAAACAAAGAAGACAGCAAAAGATGAAAGTAATGGAAATGAAAGTTTTAAGATCTATATTACATGGTACACTACAAGATATACAAGCCAACACTTTTATTAGAGAAAGGTGTAGTTAAATGGACAAAAATCAGAACAAAGAAGTAGATGAAACATGTAGAAAGAATTATTAAGAAGAGAATTTGTATGTGAGGACGACCGAATCGAAAGAAACCACAAGGACGACCTTCTAAGAGATGGGCTCAGAGTTGGTGCTGTTCGGAATAAAACCCAAAACACGAGGCTTGACAAACAGACAATTGTTTCTAATTGAAAATAGTAGAAATGGAAGAAGGGGGTTAAATAATTTTATTATCATTGGCATAAAAATTGTTAAATTTATCTTTAATTTTACATTTTCACTTAAATAGTCAACCCATAAGTTTCAGTAACATACGATTAAATAAAAAAAAGTTATAAAAAGAGCATTAACAACAAAAAGGGTATCAACATACGATTAAACGGACTACGACGTCTTTCTTAGATAGCTTATTCAATGGTGGTACCATAATTCAATTTAACACCGCCCTCCACGCCAAGTTAATATATTCACTTGATGTATACTACGCACTTAGAATTCATCATTGACCAAGATATTATAAATTCTATATAGATATTATAATTCCTAACTTAAACGTTAACAACCAAAAAAAGCTATGTCTATTATTATGTGATATTAACATGAAATTTAAAATGACAAGAAGTCACGTTTGTCTAACCTACAAGAGTTTTTTTAATTTCAATAAATTTAAATCCATCATAAAAAGAGTTATATATAAAATTTTTTATAATTTACTTAACCAAATTTCGAAAATGTTTTAACGAAATCAAATCGACATATCAACGATATGCCACAATAAAATTTTTAATAACACACGTCAAATGCATTCCAGATTGATTTTACGTGTCAAAAATGCAAGTATACTTTTTACAAAAATCAATCTTTTCCAAATTTTTCTTGAACTGTCAAAGAAATTTTTATTTTTTTTTTTAATTTTTACGTTTTTTATTATTAGATATTCGTTCAACTCGACGAATTAGACGAGAACCAGGACGACAGTAAAGAATGGAAAGAAACGGCAAGATGGATAAAATACGAAGAAGACGTAGAGGAAGGTGTCGATCGGTGGGGAAAACCGCACGTAGCGTCGTTAAGCTTCCATTCCCTTCTCAATTTGAGAAGATGCTTGGAAGATGGATTAGTTATTTTGGATATGGAAGAAAAGGATCTTCCGGGAATCGCTTACAGAATTTCGGAGGAAATGTACAAAGAAGATTTAATCACGGAAGGTGACAAAGCGAAAATTATGAGAATCCTTTTGTTGAAACATCGACATGTTAACGAACATCATGAGAGAGGATTTAGATTTCCAAAGAAACATAGTTATTCATCTTTACAGGTAATTTTTTTATTGTTAATACTTCTTCTAAGTGTAATTGTTTTAAAATCAAATTATTTACTAAGAAGTAATAAAAGAAATCCATAAATCTTTGGATCTTAGGCGGAATCAATAAAATTTCTAAATCGGGTTTTTATTACTAATAACAATTTTGATACGTTTTATTATATCTTTTTAATAGGTGTACAAGTTTCTTGGATTGTTATATGTTCTTAAATGTTTTTAAGTGTTTTTATTTCTATTTGTTGATATTTAAGTGTAATAATGATAAAAAAAATTTCTTTTATGTAACGCTTAATCAATTTTTTTTGATAACGCGTTGCTTGCAGTCTTTGTGGCTTGAGGACGGCGCCGGTTATGAAGCTATCATGATGGCAAGGTGCTCCGTTTGTTCTGCTCAGGGGCACCTCTGCGGTCCCCACGCTCTGCCACGGTCTTCCATTCACGTAACGTTTCTTTTTTTGACCAAAACACATCTCGCTTTTATACTTTTATGTCTTAATAAAAATCACGTAATACAGTACGATCGAAAATATCTGACTAAAAAATATTCATTCGTCGACGATGGACGTCATTTCCAGATTTAAAAATATCTTGGGATTTCAAAAATTTTCATAATCTTATTGTCAAATTCATGTTAATTCCATCTAATCATTGATGATCACAATGAACCTTGAAATGAATCGTAAAATAATCCTTAATTTGCATTAGGTGATTAGTAATAACATCAAAAAAGTACTCATTTCTGTTTAACGTTTATGCTTTCCATAACTGTTCTAAGTAATTGGAACTCTCCATTAAATAAAACATCGAATACTATTATCTCTTTTACCCATGTAAATTTTATGAATGAAAATGTAATTAGATATCTAAAAAATCAAGGTGTTTATCAAACAATACCTTGCAATCAAAAGTATTGCTCAAATCCTTGAAAATGAGAAACATTGTAACTCTTCACTTACATTGTGCTTTGTTAAATTCAGAGTTTCAAGTTCTTAGGCATGATTAAAGATATCAAATGTATTATATTAAGGACTCAAGTGACTATTCTCTGGTACACCTCAGAGAATCAAGCTGTTGCAGTATTTCTCATGGACATTAGAATTCACCACTTCAATATTTAGATATGTAATAGCAAATGGAAAACCCAATTGCACGTCAAAGAAGAAGCACTCTCTAATATTACGGCATTAAGCAAAATAGATAGAGGAAGAGGTGGAAAGAACATCAATATTTATTAATTATAGTTGAAGGAATACCATGAATCCCAATATCTAAAGTAAGAATGTCATTTGCCATATAACTGATATTACCAGGGTATTCCAGGAAAAACGGAAAGTCTGCAATCAATCTGGGTGAGGAGCTTGACAAACAAAGTCGATTACCAAGAGAAAACAAGCCGAAGCAAATAAACTCTAGAGAGTCTAGACCGAGATTGTTTGTATTTTATAATTCATAAAAGCGACTAATTCACAAGCCGCACCTATAAGTATTTAAGCATATTCCATGTACTATTTATTTGTAATATTAACACCAGCTTAGATTAAGTTGACTCATCAATATTTACGAATTGCAGGCAGAAGTTAAAGTAGTTAAATATAATAAAAGAATATTATATACTGGAACGTCAACAACCTCAGGCTCCGTTAACCTTAGCGAGGATATCCGCTCTTTCAGTTCATATTCCAAAGATTTCCATCAATAACCAGAGTTGTATGCGGCTTAATGTGCTTTTTCCAGATCTTGAACCCAGTGATAGTTAAAGTGATGTTAATCCCGAAAGATAACATGCTAAGCCAAAGTGTGTCTTTGTTTCTGCGTTATTCTGTGACTCAATACAAATTACAGCTGGTTTCTCAGAGAAGCCAAGTTATAGTGGTCTTTCGAAAACTGCGGGATAAGACTTTGGAATCATATTGTAACATGAAAAAATATTAGAGAAGATAGAACAAGGCCATGCGAACTGTTCTAATATGTAACACTTCCAAGCACTGACAGTATGATTCCCATAAAAATTTTACCCATGTACGATCTGAACAATCTTGAGCATCCTCTCCACACACAGCTCTTAGTTATATATTTTCTGGAGTAGCTACATAATCTAAATCGTCTATATCAATAGCATTTTCAGTTTTTTCCTTTGCCCTCCTCAAATATCCTCTGATTACAGTGTCTAAAGTTCCAATTTAGCAATATGGGATGTTTTGAGTTCGACAAACAAATCCAAGTATTTCAACAGGATGGGTTCCAAAACAGATTCTGACGACTATACTTATCACCGTAATTTTAATCATGTTTTGATACTTCTGTAATTTTGGCTTTTTTGGTTTAGAAGTGTTATTGCAAAAAATGTTCATTGTGCATTTGCATCTAAAATATTTCGTTAAATATGAAATAAATAACTTGTTATGGTATCATAAATCCTTTCCGTCAAAATCATAAAAGAAATCACTCAGAAAGGGCAAGATCCCAAGATAGGGCAAATTTTAAAATAGACGGATTGCGAGAACTACTTAGGCTCAGTTTCATAAAATTTCATCATTAGATAATACCGTTGTTAGCGTCGGTATATCACTGGTTTAAAGTGTTTAAACCCTCGCTAACATTTAAAATTGTCTAAATGCATTTCACAAACGTTTTGATCGGATTAAACTAAAATAAAGCTTGCTATTAAATCTAATCGATTTTAAATGTATCCCAACAACTGGCGTAAAATTTGTGTAATCGATAAATAATTATTTTAAAACGTAATTTTTCTTTTAATTCCTTTTTTTTATTATTTCGAGTCTGTGACAATTTTTTTTACTTCTACTTTTTACCAAAATGATATATTAAAATACTTCACTCCTTGTTAAAAATTTAATTTATATTGAAGGATTATTTGAATCATTTCTTTATTATTTTATGGAAATTCAAATTAATTTTCTAATGATATTCTTAGGATTAATTCATTTCCATAGAATTCACAAACATTCTTGTAATTGCATAAATGTTCTTAAAACTTCGCCGATTTTCCTAGAAATAAATTTTATTTTCCCGGAGGGAAATGTGAACAAAACTAATATTAAATTTTCATTATAAGCTTAATTGGTTTACTGAATTGATTTGTGTTTTCACGATTCATCGGAGATATTGAAACGACGGTGAATTGAAACACTTCAGCATGATTGCCATTGAAAGGAGCAAACGACGCTGAACTTTTATATAAATACATCCGCTAAGAACTGTTGCATACCGTTTCATCAATTCGTTTCAAAATATTTAGTTAGTTTGTATTATTATTGATTATATTAAAACACCAATTTTGTGTGTTTTGACATGCGACAAAATCATCAAATTTTAATATAATCCTATTTAAATAAGACTTTACTTAAAATTGCTCTGGCATACTCTTCTTGTTCAACTACTTCTTGCAATATACACTTTCTACATAATGTTTGCAAAAATCGTCCATTTTGACAACATGACCAAGAAAGAAATAACAGAGTACGCATTTAGACAAGTTATTGTACGTGTATATTGATATGAAATCGTTTTAAATCCATTCACGTACACATTATGATTTCAGTTGTTATGATATTTGTGTATATAGTTAGGATAAGTGAAACTTTGTAAATAGTTACAATATGAAACTAGAATATGGAACTAATAGTGACCACAAAATGCAACTTAAAAATGTATAGTATACAAGAAACAGCGTAAATTTAGTTTTGGTCAACAAAATGTAAACATTTTTGATGATATTCCCAAACGCATTTCTTTCTGCCAGTAACCCAAATAAAACTTTAAATTGTGTAGGATTTCACCTGATTCAGTAAGGTCAAGATATCATAATATTACAATCCAGTTGTCTAGATTGATTACGTCGTTCATCCATTCGCACACAAGATTTAAATCGGTAACTTTCGTTGCTAAGAAATCCCCGATTATCTTATATCGGAAAATCTTAAACATCATATCGTTGCGTATTAAGAAAATATCTTTCATATCACTTTAATTTGATCAGTTAGATAATGCGTAGTAGATTTTCTCTTTTCCCTCTTTATAAATTACATAATTGAAATTTTCTCGATTCATTTCTTTGCTGCCACCTTTCAATTCAGTGGAATCTGTTCACGCTAAGAAGAAAATATAAACGGTTAGGTGTTGACATAAATTTACGGAAGTAAGTGATGTCATTTTTCTTAGAAATCTGTAGTTATGTCAACACTCTATGGTGACTTAAAACTGTCCCAGTACATCTATAGGTTGCTCTGCATACAAATTACGTAGATATCCACCTTTTAAACTGTACTACAACCCCAACAACTTTTTTTACCATATCATTAGTTCCACACCATTCGAAATATCAAAAAACGACAATGCAAAATGTAATTATTATTCTGCACAACATTACAATGTGTCAAAGACTCTATATAAACATCTTCTACTCACGTCTTACTCACAAGACTTTTCACTGTTCATCTGTTTATCATTTGTCAGCATCGAAAAGCGCATATACAAATTGCATATACACGGCAAATATTTTGTGTACAAAATGATGACCATTTTCTTTTTGAAATAAAACATCAAAACCAGATTCTCCTTTCTTTGACATTATTCCATTATTATTACAGTGGCCACTAACTAATAGGAAACCAAACCATTTTCCTTTTATTTTTGATGCTATGAAATCTTCACATGATGCAATTTTTGCAAATTATACACTTCAAGTCCATGATAAAGCAATGCGCCATGAAAAGATGGCGCATTAATCAATATTTCTTACGTGTAGATTATCTAATACAAATTCACCTCTAGAATAAGAATTTTAAGTAAGTGGTTTCTATGTGAATCCACCATACTTCTCTATGATTTCTACTATCCTTTATGGTAGATTTGCATGATGATGTATTTCGTATTATTTGGCATATACAAGGTGATTTGTACAAGTAAGCGTGTACAAAAGTAGTTACTGCAAACAGTTGATTTATATACAACAATTTATTTGCTTACGAATATCCATAATACCCTTTATGATGTATTAAAAGTTCTAACTTCAGGTTATTCTGTACTTCACTTGCAGTTTCTAGCATAGTTGGAACTTGTCACTCTGGAAATATAAAATAAAAATCCCCTTCTCTCTATTCGTTCAATCCAGTTTCATATTGTGGCAGCCCAATATGAAACTACCTCCATTATTCCAAATTACTTTCTAATAACTACAGTTACACATTACTCAAGTTGACACGTCACTTCGCGTAAACCCTTCCTAGTTTATGTTCCATGTGTATTCCATTGAACTAGAACCAAATTTATAACTTGTGTTCACTCCCTGTACGATTTAATTAAAATTTACCTTTTAAAAGCTGATCCACTCTAATAGCCATCTATCCTTCAGTAGAATCACTACATTAAATGAAAGTACGCAAACATTATTTTCATTTTGTACTCATTCTCTTGGAATATTATAACTTCCTTAATTAGAGATGTGATACATTTTCTAAGGATTCCATATATTTTCGTATTTTCTTCGATTTGTAATAATAAAAATAAACATCGATATTTTCGGTCAACCATTTTCGATCTTTCTGTATTTTATTTTTTTGTAATGTCTTGAACTTTTTTAACACGATCATTTTTTCTTTCGATTTGAAACGTAACAAAAACAATGGTATTTTTTTATGATTTTCTTTTAGGTTAGACGCAATGAATATGTTTGAGTGTTGTATATTATTTTCTTATTTTAACCCATAAATCATTTAATTTTTTGATTTTTTTATCGATTTTAAATATTTTTCTTCATTTGAATTAATATGGCATAATTATTTTAGAGTCTTCACGACATCGAAAGAAAACGTTCGAGTTTGGCTTCGGATATTTTAAATGCGGTTAAAAACGGTGGTCATTTCGATCAAGATGGGAAATTGGTTGGAAGTGATGGTCATACAATAGTTGATATGAAAGAAGAAACCTACACAGCGAGTACTGAAGATTTAAAGAAGGTTCAAAATGAGGATTTATTAAAAAAGATTCCGGAAGGTGCTCAAGGTTCGAGTATTTTAGTTGGAAAAGTTGATTTCTTAGAACAACCGGCAATGGCTTTCATTCGATTGGCGGAAGGTGTAAAAATTCCGTTCCTTTTTGAAGTAAACATCCCGGTACGTTTTATTTTCATCTTGTTGGGACCACCTAATGTAATGTTGGATTACCACGAAGTTGGTCGTTCAATCTCAACTTTAATGGCCAATCAACAATTTCATAATTTAGCTTATACGGCTGATAATAGAAAAGTGTTACTCTCGGCTATAAATGAATTCTTAGACGATAGCATTGTTCTGCCACCTGGCGATTGGGAACACAAAGCTCTACTTCCCATTGAAGAATTAAAAGCTAAAAGCGAAGCTATTAAAAGACGAAAGCAAAGCGCTTTGATTATTAAAAGTAAAGAAGTTGAAGCGATGCAAAAACCTTTGTTATTGGCTGCTGCCGCTGGTGGTGGTGATGATAAAAAGCCACCTTTTGGAGATCCTCTTGAAAGAACTAGACGGCCTTTTGGTGGGCTTATTAATGATATAAGGAGACGATATCCTCATTTTAAAAGTGATTTTACTGATGCTTTTAATTCGCCTTGTATAGCCGCTGCGATATTTATGTATTTTGCTGCTTTATCAACTGCGATTACTTTCGGTGGTTTAGTTGGAGATAAAACTGATAATTATATGGGTATATCTGAAACTTTAATGTCAGGGGCAATTGGAGGAGTACTTTTTACTTTATTCAGCGGACAGCCATTAATCATAACAGGAGCGACCGGACCGTTATTATTATTTGATGAAAGTTTGCTTCAATTTTGCAAAGCAAATGATATCGAATTTTTAACTGTCCGAGTTTACATCGGAATTTGGTTAGCAATTATCGCATTATTTGTCGCTTCTTTAGAAGGAAGCGTTTTGGTGAAAGCCTTCACAAGATTTACCCAAGAAATTTTTTCCGCCTTGATTTCCCTCATTTATATCATTGAAAGTATCCAAAAATTAATCTTAGTTTTCCACCAACATCCATTACTTACCGATTATTGCGGGTTTGACCGGTTTAACGGGAATTGTACCACATCTCCCGTTGATGAAGTTTTTAATTCGACAATTTTAAACATTACCGAATTTGGAAATGAAACTTATTGCAACGATATTACAATAACACCGCCGATTGGCCCTCCGATTGTACGCGATAAAAATGGATTAATTTTAAACCAACCTAACACAGCGTTGATGTGTGTTATTTTGGCACTTGGTACATTTGTCATCGCTTATTATTTGAGATTGTTTAGAAACAGTCAATTTTTAGGAAGAAGTGTAAGTTCTAACTAAAAAAAATTAATGTTTGGATGATTAATTAATTTTTTTGTAGGCAAGAAGAGCACTCGGAGATTTTGGTGTACCTATAGCAATAATAATGATGGTTTTAATGGACTATTCAACACCTCAGGTTTATACAGATAAACTTCTCGTACCCGCCGGAATATCACCTACAAAACCAGACTATCGTGGTTGGCTTATTAATCCAGCAGGAACTGAAAAACCATTCCCGTTGTGGTTAGTTGCAGCTTCTTGTATCCCAGCTATGTTGGTTTATATCTTGATATTTATGGAAACTCATATCAGCGAGTAAGTAAATCTTACCAATGCTCTTTGCATACAGTAAAAACCTCGATATATTGTATTAATAAAGCCAAAAGTCCGTTATATGAATAATTTTAATGATTCAAATTTGGACGACTATCCACACCGTTGTGTTAAGGCTACGTGGCTTTATATTTATACCAAGGACGGTAGAATCTAAAAGAAGTGCTATATTCCAGGAACATGTGCACTGTTCAAAGGCCCGCTCGTGACGTCACCGCTAAATAACAATTAAAACTAGAACTATATTACATTTACATAAATTACATATCGGGAAGGCGAACCAACGAACCTTGCACTGCGACTTAGGGTCGCATCTATTGTACACCAATAGATAACATTATCAAATTTTACCGTATAGTCCAATGCTCTTAACGAACATTAATACCTTGTTCAGTGAAAAGCCATTCAGATCCTTTGGGGAGATAAACTGCGACCCAAAAATCGAGAATCTGATATGATTAACAGCAGGGCAGTGACATAAAACATGCTCAACTGTCTCCAAAACTGGTCCAAAGTAGGCGAAATCTCCCTTCAGCCCACAGTCCACTCCTATGTTTGGCCATCGCAAATGATATACCAACTGCTGGCTCCGACCCCACAAACTCTTTAGCGCTGCCCTCTCGTGCTAGCTCATCTGTCACTTCATTGCCAGCAACTCCAGAGTGCTCTGAGAGAAGCTCGGACCCAGATCAGAGAAACTCTGTTATCACAACTCAGTGTGTTTAAAGTTGTTATGTTCTTCACCCCTCTCTCTCAAGAAGGATTTTAGCACCCATGTCAATAGCAAATACTTCCGCCTGGAATACAATACACTATTTCTTTAGTCTGTAAGCTTGCTTAATCCGAAGTGCCTGGCAGTATACTCCTACCCCTTCTGGCGTTTTTGATCCATCTATGAACATACAAATATCTACCTGAACCCGAGAATTTTCGTTGTCGATCCAGGACTGCGGTTCAGGCAATACAATCTGGTATCGAGCAGTAATTACCAATAGTGATTCCGGAAAATCTGACGGCATTGATAGCACAGTATCACTGCTTATAGTGTCTTCCGCAGTCCGTTGGTTGGACATGTTGGAACAGGTTTGAGCATATTGCTAACCCGTTTATGCTCGAATTAATTTTTGTGTTTCCAGTGTCATTTTGGTGCAGTTGTTATCCTTTGTAGCTGACTTCAAGCATTATTTTTAAGAAAATACTATTTTTCCGTAGTTTGAATGATCCATTAATGAAATGAAATGATAATGATAATGAAATGATCCTTTCTCAATAAAATCAATCAAATCAACATAAACTTTAACAATAAATGTATTGGAATTATTTATTGTCCATTATCTTGTGTGGAAGTAAACAAAACAATATTCATGCAGATTACCTTTACATTTTTGTTAAGACCATCTCGTGTTTTTTTTTCGAGAAAGCAAAGCGATTTTGTTTTTCTGCGTAGACAATCCAGTGGTTACTTTCTTCAAATCGCCCTTGCGTTGGCACTCTTGAAGCCATATCTTTATGGGAAGATGAACGTCCTCCTCCTGCCGGGGGAATACCATATTTGTGTAAATACATTTGCACAACTATTCTTCGAAAATGCAAATAATCCATTTTTTACCCAAGTCCTTTTTTTATATAGTTGCCATCCGTTGTGGACTGAAATATCGACACAAAACGCAAAAATTGCCAACCACCACTTCTTCGATCTAATGGAAATCCTGCAGTTGTCTATGTTCTCATCCATCCTGTCTACACCACCCATATGCCAGCTTGCAACGGTTAGTTTATTGGCAACAGCTGAACAATAGTCATAGAAACCTCTGTCTTTCTTTTCTACCACTTTTGAAGGCATTATGGCACACTTTTCAATTTTATTTTATTTGATAGTTCCCGTACATCCATATCTTTTTCCTGTAAATGAGTTACCAGTTTGTTTTGGTAGGACTTTTATCAGTCCAAGTACAGCAGATTCTCCAACACCAAATGCTGGTTCCTTTATAGTTGGTATGACGTTAGTATGGAACCATACTTTCGTCAACACTACTCAGCCTTTCTTGGAGTTCTGAGTATTTAAAAAATTTTAAATTAAGCATTTGCATCAATTCTCGTAGTTTTACAAATTAGTCGCCTGGAGGAAGGTTATTATTATTAGCACAGTGGAGATATCTTTTTATCATTCTGAATCTATTTCAAGATTCAGTTCCTAGCTCCCACCACATTCTACATCTAGCATCACAATAGACAGATAAAGTAGTATGGCCAAAAAACACTTTATTTCTTCATTGGAAACTCGGCAATTAAGTTCACCCTTTTGCTGTGCACATAACGTCGTCATTTCTGCCAATAATCCACCGAATGCATTCCACCGGATTGGAAGAAATGGTTTCTCAAAGTTCGGAAACCCAAGAAAAAGATCGGATTTTTGCCAGTTTCTTTTTTTTCGGTAACTTCTTTTGTATTCCTGACAAAGGTTCATTGTCACTATTTGATTCTTTGTCAGTGTCGGTGTCACCAATTGTGAAAGTCCGTCCTTGATTTGTAATTTTCGCCATAGCTGTCACCATCCAGTTATTGATATCGTTGCAGAAGTCTCCGTTGCCGCTATCTTCAGCACTTTCAGCACCATTATCTGGAGAACCGAAAAATCGTCGTCTTCTATTACTTGAATGAGTTCTGCAATTGTGAGGGGTCTGAAATTATTAAAAATGTTTATGGACCCGTTTAGCATAGTTCCAATATTGGAACTTTTGGGAAAAAGTGATTTTTTTTGTACTTATCGTATTTATTATCAATGATGATATATGGATATGTGTTGAGAATTGTTAGAGCAATAAACACAACGCAAAATAATAGATAATATTAGTTTAAAAATAGAAAATGTTAAAGGAAGAAAAAACTTTTTCTACACGTTAAAGGCACAATAATCCGTCAAACAATCACTTTCACTAATCAACGTGTTTACTAGAAACGTGTTACTGCCTGCAAAATTACATTGTGACAAAGCGTGGAGGGGAGAAAACGGGGGTGTTCCATTATTGGGCAAAACTGTGGGCATAAACGGGTTAAATCTGTAAATGGTAGTTCCAGCCACTTTTTCTATATATACACATGCAAAGGAGATAGGCCAAGCAGAACTTCCATTGCTAGAGTTGGCGTTGTACTTATCGCACCAGAGATTACCAATCCAGCTACTCGTTTAATTCTTGAAAGTTTACTGATAACTGAAGTCTGTCGTACTTTCCTATACCAGACTGCCGCACCCTATGTGATCATAGGTCTAACCACAGTCACATAGAGCCAGTACAGTCTTTCAGGGGTAAGACCCCAATTTTTTTCCACAAAGACTACGTCGTTTGTATCTTAAGATAGCTAAACCCGAATGTTTCCAGTTCTAGGTCTAGTCTTAGTTCTAGTGATAGTGAAGTGTAAATCTAAAACTAACACTAAACCTAGAACTAGAAACATTCGGATTTAGCCAAACGTCTCTCAAGACGGCTAAACCTGAATAATTCTACTTCTAGGTCTTGTGTTAGTTCTGGTGATAGTGCCAGTGTAAAACTAGAATTAACACTAGACCTAGAAGTACAAACATTTGGAGTTAGCTGAACGTCTCTCAAGACGGCTAAAGCCGAATGTGTCTAGTTCTAGGTCTAATGTTAGTTCAATAAAGATATACAACAATCTAGCGCTAAATTACAATTAAAAGTAGATCTACCGTCCTTGATTTATACATCGTATAGACAACTGGGAGAATACCCCAAGTTTATTTTCTCCACTATATTCTAAGTCTACTATTATACTGTATCTCTATTTTGTTTATTTTTTTTCCAATAGATTAATTGTCGATAAAAAGGAACGTAAATTAAAAAAAGGTAGCGGTTTCCATTTAGACATAGTAATTTTGTGTCTAATAAACATCGGAAATGGTTTCTTTGGAGCCCCATGGATTTGTGCCGCCACCGTCAGATCGATCGCTCACGTAGCCGCTTTAACAATCATGTCCAGGACTCACGCTCCAGGAGAAAAACCCCACATCATCGAAGTAAAGGAGCAAAGAGTTTCTGGTCTCATCGTTTCAGTATTGATGGGTTTATCGGTATTGATGTCACCGCTTTTACGTCTTATCCCAATGTCTGTACTATTCGGAGTCTTTTTGTATATGGGGGTTGCGTCCATTAACGGAGTACAAATGTTCGAGCGGATTCGATTACTTTTTATGCCTGTTAAACATCATCCTTCATCAGCACCTTACGTCAAAAGGGTAAGTTTCTTTTAAATCATTTTAAAAAATTAAAATTTTGAATATATTTATTAGGCAACCTGTTTCACGTTTAAATTTTAACTTGTTAATTGGGTTGCCTACCTCAGTGTCATTTTCTATTTTAAATCATTTTTTTTATTTGAAACAATTTATATTAAGTGTGCAATTCAATTGTATGCAATTTTTTTACAATTCTTGTTTACAAATTTGTTTCAATTTGAATATAATTTGTAATTATCTCACGAAAAGATCAAGTTGAAATGGAAATTATTCTCTTTAAACGTGCGGGTTTCAAGGGCAAAATCTAAAAAAAAATGGTTGGGGAAATATATTTTATGAGAAATCAGTTAATTTGGATTACAACACAACATTTATGAGTATTACTTTGTTTGTTCATTGATAACACAAAAATATGATAACAATGTGGGTGTCACCATATGGATACAATTAAAAAGTGACGAGTTGACGTCACTCATCAATTTATCATTTTTGTTATGCGTTCACAGAAATATTTATCATAGTACATGAGTATTTGTTCGCGTTTTATAATAATTAGTCATTTTTTGATGAGTATTTCATTAATTTAAATTCCTTTTTCTATTCTATCGTCACTCTACAAAAAAAACAACTTGTACGTTTGTTTAACATCCCCTCGGACAATAGAACACCTGACTGCACTTCTTTAAGTGAGTATTACATACAGGAAATGAGCACGTGAACGAAATTGCTACTTAAAACAAAACTTAAACAAAAATAAGATCAAACACTCGTTTAAAATTCAAATAACTTCCATGCAAAACGACAATGAACTTGTATTATTACATAAACAAACATGTGTATACGTTTATTATTAGATGCAAATCAAATGTGTGGGTTATTTTACACACGACTTTAGAGTTCGTGAACTTGAAAATGCCTTGATTCGTTCATTTGGCAAAAAAAGTTTTTGTTTATAATTGCTTTGATAATAAGTTCATCCAATTTGTAATTTGAAGTTATTACGTTGGCTCTTATTATCCGGTGTTATTGAACTGCAAAGAGTCGTAAACATGTAAGATAAGAGATAGTAGAAAGGCTAAATGTCATCATCCGGTTTACCTCCTTTTCCAATACTTACAACAAATACGTTTTAAAAAACGTTTCTTTTAAAAAGGTTTAACTACAAACCTTTTCATTGTATAATAAGAAATTCAATCTATTTTATTGATACTTATGTAACATTATTCCTATATCTTTATTACCATTCATATATTAACAGACAAAGAAATAATATTTTTATCATTTCCTAATAAATTCTTTAAAATCCCGTTTTTAATTACACCTAATTTGTTTATCTATAAAGTATTTAAAATAATCAACAACTCTAAAAATATTTAAACAATTCTAATTCCAAGTAGAAATAATTCAACGTTTTAAAAGAGGTCCATTTGAATACTAATCACCAATTTAACCCATAAAAACGACGTGACCTACATTAACTTCATTGTCATCACCGTTTAAAAAACGAATAACCCGACGTATGCTTGCATTTAAATGGAGCTACGGAGAGGCTGAAGTTTTATTTGTTAAATTAAATGGCCCTTTGTCCACTTGGCCGCCTTTTATTGTCTAAATTGCTTTGCTTGGGAGAACGGATTTATGTTGAATTGTTTTCATTTGAATATCTATATAATTATAACAACGTTTTCTTTCAAAAAACATTTTAATTAATTATTTATGAGTTTTAAATTCGGAATAAATTTTTGAATATTTCCTTGAATTTGAAACAAAATAATCCGAAAGAAGATTAGGAACAGATAATAAGCGTTAATCGTGATAAAATTAAAGTTATAATCCCTGATTATATTAACGGAGAATTAATTCCTTTCGCATCGGATTTGAGGCGGAAATTATAGCAGTTATTACCAGTTAAGCCTTTTTTAGTTTTAAGTCTATATGCAGGTCCTCGTTAAAAATGTTACCAGTAATGTTGTAAAACGAATCTTAAACGATCTTTTTTTCAGGTCGATGCACTAAACCATTGAGTTAAAAGTTTCATTTGTGTTATTATTGTTTAAATCTCTGTAAATTGGTTGAATTGCGTTAATCTTCATACTGCCTATTAGAGTTTATATATGAGCTAGAGTGCAATATCTTTTTGTTCGTTTTTTATGTAATGCAATCGAGTTCAATTGCGTTTTTACACATGGTGTTCATAAAACTGAACATCTTTAAATCGTTTAGTCTCCTCGATTACTGAGTCATTTTTTCCTTTTTCATGGTTAAACAGACATTTAACTCCTCTTTGCGTGCGTTTCAAACTATTTCGCATACTCTATAATTTCTCTTTTCCGTAGTTTTATAATTTACCATGCGTAGGGATAATGCCGATTCCTTTTCTTTGGTATACTTATCAATTAAAGAAACTAAGACAGCAAGCGGCGTGAATCATCTCGTTCTTTTGCAAAAATTATTTCCATCTTTTCTCTTAATTATCTCCCATAGTAAACTGACACATTTGATTGAGTGACAACCAGAAATTGTAACCACACCAGCTTTTTATTGAAAATATCGGCTAAGGCAAATCCAATACTAATCTGTTCATTTAGAACACTTTAATAATAAATGAATCTTGAACGAAAACATTTAAGTCTGTTTAAAATTCGCTATATAATGGCACTTATGACACACTGGAAATGCAAATCAACGAAGCAGAAGCCAAATAATGGTTGAACACTAATATCACTTTCAATTTCTGCTACCACAATGCTAACTAGACTCAGACTGTGAATATAGTACACGATATTTTGGTATCCTTGGTTGAAATTGCTATCCTCAGTGTCATCCCAAGTATTCTAATGTTTTTTTTTGATAACTATACTAGGCTAATACAGCACAAACAGACGGGCTCTGCAAGGACACAGCAACCTATATTGATATGGGAGGAATAAGCTACACGAATATGAATATGTATTTGCTATTTTTTTTTTGTTTTTTGTAAATACAAAACAAAAAATGCGTGACAAAATGACGCTTGCGTTAAGTTCCTTCTATAAGATAAAGATTCATAGTTTTGGAGCAGTTAAAACTTCACCGACAAAGAAAAATTTAACTCCAATGTTTTGATCATAATAGGTGCCAATAAATTTCTCGAATATTTATTATTGTTTAGAATTTTGATTAATAGTGTTGTCAATTTGCTGACAGAAATGTTTATACGCAATACTTCTTAATACTACTCAAATATGTAAGAGCAACACCTCTTCGACAATTGACTTGCAGAAATAATGTTCATGAATTTCATTATAATCATCATAGGAACAAAATGTACAAATTACAAAACTAGAAATTTTTTGTGCAATTCGTATTCTGTCAAAACGACTATTAAAGTGTTTAGCAATGATTTGTTGCCGAAATCCGGTTGCATAATGTTGAGTGCTTCATTTTATTTAATTAATATTAAGGTCAGATTTTTAGTTCAGAATTAAAGGTAGAACACGACTTTCTGACGATTTATACGCAGCTGTAGGACACTTTAGGGAGCTATAAACTTCAAAACATAATGTATCTTATGTGTTCTCTTGTCTAAATGAACTACAATTTAACTCACATAAGAGAGAATTGAAATGAATCTTTCACGAATGTTACTAATTCCAAAAGAAATCGGTTTTAATTTATTTTTCTCGAAAACTATAACAAGTATCAAAATAACATTTTATCTTGAATGTGGTGGCCACTTTCCTAATTGGCATGAAAGTCGAAATACAACATTTATGAGTCGCTCAGAGATAAGACGGATTTCTGCTCCGTATCAAATAATCTCAATATTGAAATCCTTCATCCGTATCACTCTCATTCATTAATGAATTACAAGATTCTAACCAATTCAATATCCGTGCCGCATGTACTGACTCTGCCAATGAATCTTATACAACTTGGAAGATCTCGTAGGAAGCGATTTGCACGTGCGATGGAGTAAATAATTCACCTCCACATGGCTTGCGAAACGAGGGTCCTAACTAATAATTAATAAACGAGGGATATCGACTTAGATACGTAAAATTTTTATTTTTAGGAGATCATGAATACCATAGTATAAGCAAAAGCTGCCTTGAATATTGGAGGTACTGAATAAGACATGAAAACGATGTCAATAATCCACAAAATACTCTTGTTTGATAATTTCTGAAGATCTGGAAAATAACATCCAATAGATTGTATTCATTAACCTTAGTTCTGAAAGTATTTGTGTATTCATACGTTCTAATCAGTATCAATTGCTTCAAAAAAACCTATTACAAATTTATGAAATTATACATAATATTCTTGTAATAGCTTATAAATTCTCCAACCTCATTATTGGTTATATTTTTGCTACCTTGTCAAAAGGGATTAAATAAATATTGGAAGAAAAATGTTAACGATTTCTGAGAAAATATAAGACATAAAAATATGCTCGGATGTTTCTACTTATATCGACCGCTTTATAAACTGGGGATAAATATGACTGGCTTCCTTTCTTGTTTCAAAATATTTATTTATGTATCGATTAAGAAAACCACGTAATTCTTAATAGCACCCGAGCGATGAATTCAAAATGTATCGTCATTTACCATTTAGAATTATTAACAATACCGGAATTATCCAGTTTTTAAACCGTAAAAGTAAAGTATTTATAGATATTGTTGCCATAATTTCTTGCGAATATTTATTAGAAAGTTTAAATAAAGATTTTTTACACCTGTTCGATATTACTGTATTGCTTTCTATCGATTTCGAGGTCAGCACCTATTCTTTAGGAAATTCTAAATATCAAACAGTGATTAATTCAGTAGTTTTAATTAAAAGTTATAACGTTGTAACGTGGTTATTGTTAAAGATGAATACTATGAAATACATTAGTCAACAAGCAATTCTTCAACAATATTTTCCAATCTGTATATAATATTACTACATAATCAAGATTGACAAAGCCCGTGAACCTTGAAGGATTTTTGACATTTCCTCTGACTACATTTTAGGATAAATGATTTGTCATTAGATTGCCGTGCGTTTAATTTGTGTTATAGGACGTAAAATCAATAATTTTGCCGAGGTTGTTTGCTGCCAGGGCATTGCATCGTACAAATACAAAACCTGGTCAAATTTGCGTGATTTTTAACATTTCATTTGAAAGAATATTATGATAAATTATATTTCATTAGATTATTGTACACTTAGTTTGAGCCGAAGAAGTTTAGACCCAAGTTAAGCCGTGTTCTTCAACAATGAGTAATGATTTCGGGCTGCAAAAATAGTACAGTGGGTTGAAAATATGAACAAATATACGCTGAAAAATTCGCAGTTGTTTATTTGATAGAAAAAGTCCCAAAGTAAAGAAAAGAGCCATCACACGGGATGACTTAAAGAAAAAATCTTAATAAGCAAATATTGCTGTCATTGACTCAAAATAATTAAAAAAACTCCAAGCGACATATTTTATGAAGACAGAATGCCAATATACATCTACAACAATAACAAAAAATATATCTTATTATTTTCTAAGATTATAGTGTTGCAATATCTTGTAAAACTGGTTTACCATCATCCTCTTTTAGCTGTCTGCAGCAGGCCGAAATATAATTAAAAATAAAGACAAATGTCTTCAATTCAGAGAGGATTGTAGACATAAATTGCATGGAATAAACGTTCAATATAATCGCATCATTAGGGCAAATTAGTTAATTCTTAATTAATTAACCACCGGTTAAATTATCCTTTAGTTGTAAGTTATCAACGTTCTACCAGGTTAGTTAGACTTCTCAATTATTTCATTTCAGGTTAAAACGTAGAATACAAAATTACTATATAATTAGGTGTTATCTTAAAATATGACTTTTAAGCTTTACTTAATTTAGCTGCTATAAATTAACCGTGAATCAAATTTGTAAATTTCCATTTATTTTTATGCAGTTTATTTTTGTCGAAATTTTTTAGGAGCAGACTAGGTAATAAAGGGTATCTTAACCCCTTAGGTGCGGACGACGACCGAGACTTGTCAAGCACTTACTTTTCCGCGAAGTGGTTGACATAACGAGTATGTAACTTGAGATGGTGGTAACAAAAACATTTTTTTGAAAATAAATTTGACTAAAAGGGTAAAAATATAAACACTTTTTTAAAATTTTTTAAGATAATTTTCCTCAAATTAAATATCTAACCCAAAATTTCATCTTCCAAAATATCTTTAATAACCACTTTGTTTTTAATTTATGTTTTTTGAGCTTTAATTTGATGTATAATTTTTTTATTGTATAAATAAACCATGAAAGATTTTTAATAAAACATCAAACTGCAAGAATTTTACAAAGTAAATGCAACCAATTTGTAGATTCATTTAACAATTAATAAAATACAGTAAAACCTCGATATAACGGACCTCGTTAAATCATACTATTAATATTATCTATTTAATACATCAATCTATTTTAATATAAATGTTACTGCTCTATTTAATGTGCATAAACTCGGGGTATTCCCCGAGTTGTCCTATACGATGTATAAAACAAGAACGTATAGTTTTAATTATTATTCAGCGCTAGATTGTTGTATATGTTTATTGAACTAAATGTAGAACTAACATTAGATCCAGAAACATTCGGGTTTAGCTGTCTGTATCTTAAGATGGTTAAACCCGTATGTTTCTAGTTCTAGATCTAGTGTTAGTTCTAGTTTTAATTGTTATTCAACGCTACTTTGTTATATAGTAAGCTTACTATGTCTATTAAGCGCTTGAACACATCGAACTACTTTTAGTTGAATAAAAATACAACAATCTAGCGACGAATAACAACTAAAACTAGAACTAACACTAAATGTTTCTAGTTCTAGGTCTAGCGTTAGTTCTAGTTTAACTTTAATACAAATATACAACATAGCAATATCTAATGTTAACTAACGCTATCTAGCACTGTCTCTAGAAGTAACAGTAGACCTAGAACTAGAAACATTCAGGTTTAGCCGTACGTCTCTTAAGACGGCTAAACCCGAATGTGTCTAGTTCTAGATCTAGTGTTAGTTCTAATGCTAGTGTTATAGTTTTAGTTTAAACAAAAACATACAACAATCTAACGTTAAATAATAACAACTGAAACTAGAACTAACACTAATATGAGAACTACTACATTACAATAGTCTAACGTTGAATAATAACTAAAACTAGAACCAACCCTAGCATTAGAACAAACACTAGCGTTAGAACTAGGTCTAGGTTTGGTTCTAGTTTTAGTTATTATTCAACGTTAGACTATTGTAGTATATTTATCATTGAACTAAAACTAGACTAACAGTAGACCTACAACTAAAAATATTCGGGTTTAGCAGTCTTAAGAGACGCACGGCTAAACCCGAATGTTTCTAGTTCTAGGTGTAGTGTTAGTTCTGATGCCAGTATTGGTTCTAGTTTTAGTTGTATATTTTTATTAAATTAAATGTAGAACTAACTAATACAGAACGCAACGGTGTAGATAATTGTTCGAATTTGTGTGCATTAAAATTATTCATTCAAACAGTTTAAAATGCAAATTAAAAATTTTTCATATAACCGACANGGTTCTAGTTTTAGTTGTATATTTTTATTAAATTAAATGTAGAACTAACTAATACAGAACGCAACGGTGTAGATAATTGTTCGAATTTGTGTGCATTAAAATTATTCATTCAAACAGTTTAAAATGCAAATTAAAAATTTTTCATATAACCGACACTTCCTTCCCCGTATTAATTCATTATATCGAGGTTTTACTGTATTAAGTTTAATAGAATGAGTTTCAATTCGTAGTATAAATAATTGATTAGCTCCTATAAATAACTCGACAAATAGTATTCAAATAATTAACATTATTTATTCAACGATTAACTAAATCAAATTTTCGAGTTGACGTTAATGGTGTTAATGAAACATTTTTATGGTACTTAAAAGATTTATTTGCACAAAATTTTACGTACATGTAATAAAAAATAAAAAGAAACGATGGCACAATGCATCAAAGCGAGCCGTCCAAATACAAGACGAATAATAAAAGTCGAACTAAACCGAGTTTGTTTATTTTTTTTGTCATATAAATTAATCGTTATATATACTCTCCATCTTCATCTTAATATAATAATTATATAATTATTCTCTAAACGTACATTTTTTCGTCCCTTTTCTTAATAATTACCTTTTTTAAAGGGAGGAACAAGTGTTGTGGGTCTCTAGTCACGTATAAAATATTACAATACGGGCAAGTAGATAAAATTACACAGAGATACTTAATTTTTTATTTAATTTTTTTCGTTATAGAAAGTTGGCAGTTAAAATTAATTTTATTTATTAAATTATTTTTTTATTTTTAGGCTAGTTTTTGCTTTTTTACGTATTATTTTTTTTTTGCGTTGAGTAAATTTAATTTTAGTCTCACTATAACGATGATTTGGAATCAAAGCCTACACAATTTTTGGATTTTTTATTAATTAGCTAAATCGGAAAATCAAATTTTTATTTTTAATTAATTTTTATTAATCGAATCTGTGATGATAGAAAAAAAACTTAAAATAACCCTTTTTTCTTCTTTTCTTTCTTACCATCAACCGTTTCTCTACTACCCTCCAACGATCTTCTTCGTAATTCCTCCAACGTAACTTGGTTTTCTTTTTCCCATTCCTCCTTTTCTAATTCGAATTGTCTCCTTTTTTCTTCTAATTCTTTCGCTTGTTGTTCCAAAGTTTTTCGCGTCCCTTCATGGCGTCTTGTTAATTCCATTTCGCTATCTTTTAATTTTTGTTTTTTCTCGCGTACTTTCATTTCGAAAACTTGCTCCATTTCTGCTTCCATTTTTTTCATTTTTAAGTCGTGCTCGCGTTTTTCCTCGTCCATTTGGGCTAGGGGGTTTTTGTTTGATATCCTGGTTGGTTTCCCATCGACTCCTAACCCGGCTAATTTCCTACAACGATAATTTTCGTAATGAACGTTGTTTGTGACGTCTTTTAAATCTTGCAAGTGCGTCCTAACCACCATGTTTCTTAACGCGATAAAATCGCAATGTTCTAAGTTTTCAACTTCCGCAACACCCCAGGGATATTTCCTCCCTCGAATTTTTTTCCCTTCTTGTTCGATGACCACGTTAGAACCGACGACCGCGAATGGGACGCGTTCCCTTAACGATTTATTGAGCTTATGTTCCTCGTCGTCTTCTAGTGTATCGGGAAATTCGTAAATTTTGATTTTGTTTTGAGCGATTTCGTTTAATATTTGTTTTTTGAATAATGAGCATTCGTCGGGGGTGAGCGTGTCTGCTTTTGCAATGACGGGAATGATGTTTACTTTGTCGCAAAGGCGTTTCATGAATTCTATGTCGAGCGATTTTAGTCCGTGCCCCGAGGGTTGAATGAAATACAGACAGGAATGAACGCGTTGGTCAGGGATTTGTTTACGCGTAACTCGAGCTTCCGCGTTTAAATAATCCTCGTATTTCGATTCGATGTATTCGATAACGGGGACCCAACAATTTGAGTTATCTACGGCGTCGCCGAAACCGGGGGTGTCGACCATTGTTAATAAAAGATTTACTCCGTTTTCTTTTAGAAGAACTTTTGTGGTTTCGACGGCGACGGTTTTTTTAAGTCTTTGTGTTGGTCCGGGATAATCGGTTGAATTGTAAATTTCGGTCATAAACATGGAATTAATTAAAGTTGATTTACCAAGTCCTGATTCGCCAACGACCATTAGGGTAAATTCGAAACCTTTTTTGACAGCTTTGCGATAAACTTGATTTGGTAAATTTGCGAAACCAACATAACCGTCTAATTCTTTTAATTTGGGACGTTCTTTTATGATTTCTGATCTTACTTCCGGCGGGGAGGTGTCTTTGATTTCTTCGGGTTTCTCTGGGCTGGTTTTTTCTTGTGAAGGAACTTTGTTGAGACGATTTGAATCTTGTTTCGGTTCTGTTGATGTAAAAAACATTTCCCTTTTTGTTTGTACGGATGATGTTTCGCTTCCGTTGGTTTGGGTTGATGGTGGTGGAGTTCCGTTTGAATCCATAAACTTTTGACGCATTGCTAACCGATCCAAACTTGATAATCTATAAGAACCACCGATACTGTCTTTTTCGCGATCTCTTAAACCACCGCTACCGGCGTTAAAGCTCGAGGTATACTTAGGTAAAGTAGGTGGAGGAGTTGGTTTATTTTCACTGCTACGATTCAGTAACCCACTACTTGAAGTATACATATAACTACTCGGCATAATGTTTGGTCTACTTTTTATGGTAGCCGTTGCTTGCGTATTGGAAGACGCCGGAATCGGCGTCGAATTTAAATTATTAGTACTCATTATATCTTCTTTTTAAACTAAATAACTTTTTATTTGAAACTTCTTTTAACTTAATTCTTAACACATCTGTACATTTTTTTTAAACTTACACCAACAAACAACAACGGTTTTTGATCTTGACAGTGACAATCGTCGATGAGTAATGAACTGGACGGCCACGCCCGAATCACGGTTTTCGCGCGTCCCCTTCGATACCCACGTTAAAACCGCGTCCGTTTCCGTCTTTACTTAATTCGAAAATGCAAAGTTTTTACGTTTTTTCGTAACCATTTATAACATGCGTTTTTCTAAACACCACTCTCGCTCAGTGCTCTCTAACGTAACGCAAGAAAATCGAGTCGGCGTCGGACTGACGTTGTTGATTGCGTACGTCGTGCGCCAGATGGCGATCGCGTCTCCCCACCATCCGTACTTCGCTGCGATTGGTTTAAAACGTCTGTGGGTACAATCGACCAGTGGCGTAGTCAAGGGGCGACCCCGAAATTTTGCAAGGGAAACGATCCGTGACCTGGTCGTACTCGAAAACTGTGCGCCTCGTACAAAGAGAATCGATAATAATATCTATTTGGTTGTATTTGAGATGGTTGGTTATTTTATAATTTAATTTTTTTTGAATGAAGAAAATTGGCACGGATATGGATTTTATATAACCTAACCTCTCTTTACTAACTCAAAATTAACTTTTTAATATCTTATTTATACAAAAACATCAATTATTAATTAAACCAAATTAATTTTGACATTTTTTTGACAGTTAATTTAAAAATCCTTACCTTATTTACATTGAGAATTAACTGGTTTTGCTTCAATTCGAATTTAAAACACTATTTTAAGTTAATTGATTAATAAACACCACGTTTATGTAACAATATCACAATAAAATTTAAATAAATTAAACATTTATGACAATCGTTACTGAATCGTTACACTTAACATAACCTCGATTATCACTTTTTTTTCATCAAAGCGCCACCTAAACATTTAAAAATTTTGAAGTATTAAACGAAGTTACCATGACAACGCAAGGTTGGTCAACTTTAAAATAATTAAAGCAATTTGACAATCGAATTTATTATTATTTTATTATTTAAAGGAAAAGTTAGGTTAATTACGCAAAGTGGATTATTAGTTAATTAAAAATATATTAAGAAAAATTGCTTGTCTTCAGTTATGGGACGTTTATGGTAGATTTCTACTTTAAATTATTTAATATCTTATTGCTATTTTTAGATACTTGATGAAAATTCCAATGGTTAATGAAATTTTTTTTGATCAACATAACCTTGATTATCACTTTTTTTTCATCAAAGCGCCACCTAAATATTTAAAATTTTTGTTGTATTAAACTAAGTTACCATGACAACGCAAGGTTGGTCAACATTAAAACAATTAAAGTAATTTGACAATCGAATTTATTGACAGGTTTAAAAGGAAAAGTTAGGTTAATTACGCAATGTGGATTATTAGTTAATTAAAAATATATTAAGAAAAATTGCTTGTCTTCAGTTACTGGACATTTATGGTAGATTTTTAATTTAAATTAATTAATGTCTTATTGCAATTTTTAGATACTTGATGAAAATTCCTGTGGAAACTTTTAACTGTTGTAATATCAAATTTTTTTTGGGGAATAACCCCATATTCTTGTGTAAGTGACATTTTAATACGAATCTATTGAAAAAATGGTAACAAATTGTATACAGGGTCTGTCACGACGAGCTGAGTCTATACATATGTACAGTTGCTCACAAAATTGAGTATACAGGGAATGGAAGATAGATAATTGTGAATATTTCAAATAATTATTAATTTACTTTAAAGTTTGTGATGTATATACAGGTGTTTAGAAATTGGTGGATAATGTACACGTAGCGACATTCCTTGATCGACTCTGAATCAAACATCTTAATATTAAAATGTTGTTCTACTATTTTGCCAAATCTGACTTTCACGAAGATATGATAATGAAAAAATGTTAAAAAAGAACTTTAAAGCTAAAGAAAATAATTTTAACAAAAAAAACTAGTTTTTAAAATTCTTTTTATTCTAAATTACAGCTTATTTATCAACAGATATTGAATATTAATGATTGTTTATGGACTAATTATCCGAACTTTGAGAACCTCATGAATTATTAACAATAATTGTATTAACTAAATTGAATGTGAAATGATTTAGGTTAAATGGTAAAATGATTTTCTAAATAAAATAATCACGATAATAACAAATGATACGGAATTCACGCCATAAAATTGAGTATACTGTTAAGCAAAAGTGATTAAGTTTAGGTTGGTATTATGTTTTAATACGCCGTAGGCCCCCCATTAGTGTCAATTATGGGCACTAACCACCAAACTACACCTTAAAGCTGGTGTAGTTTGGCGAGATTCTATCATAAATTTAACAAATTTATTATTTCAATTCGCCTTTGTTTCGGCACTTGCTATTTTTTATATAATATAAATTCAATAAAAAGCAATACTTTTTCTTTTTCAATTTTTTGTCTAACCCGTTTCGGCTTACGCCATCATCAGAGACATTAGAAATATAGATTAGATTTTAACATTTAGTTAATACATTAGTGCACGTCAATCCAAGTTTTACAGTATTGTTTTATATTTTAACGTGTACATTTTAAATTTTAACGTGTGTTTTAATATGTTCATATTTATAATTTTATCTTGTATACCTTTGTGAAGCCGTTTACATGAACAACTAGATGTTAAAATCTAATCTATATTTCTAATGTCTCTGATGATGGCGTAAGCCGAAACCGGTTAGACAATAAATTGAAAAGGACCAGAAAAAGTATTGCTTTTTATTGAATTTATATTATATAAAAAATAACTGGTCAACATGGATCAAACTCCCTCATCTTGCTATTTTTTAACTGAAACTTAATTTGTTCCCATAAATGTTCAATAGGATTCATATCCGGAGACTGTGGTGGTGTGTTTAGTTTTGAAGTATTGTATAACAACCATTCCATCGCAAGGTATGATGTATGTTTGGAATAATTATCTTCTTGAAAATAGAACACAGTCGGAAGGTTGAGTTTTTGAGAGCTTTGACATAAATTACGTTTTAAAATCAAATAAAAATATTTTGTCATATTTCCCTCAATAAACTCCATAGTTCCAACGTTATTGGCTGCCATTGACCCCACAACATTATTGAACGTAATCTCCTTATTTTTCAGCGTCAAAAATGCTGGTGAAGGAAATAAAGGTGGGCATTAAAAAAATTAACTTTTCGACCTTTTGAGAGAGGAAAATTTGTCGTAAATTTCTGACCACCTGTATAATTTTAAATAAAATTTATTATAAAATAATTTTAAAAAAATGTTTAAAAGATTATGTAAGCTATGGGTCCTATTTGTGCAAACTCTGAGAATATTTGGCCTGACTCGAGTGTAATTTCGAAAAATTATTTTTATTGTGAATCTGCCAAAATTTTCGAAAAAACTGAAATAACTCAAAAATGGTGCACTCTAGACATATGTTGACTTATATCAAATTATATTAAAATTTAGCGGGAAAATTCAATAAAAATTGGGACTTTGCAATTCCGGTATAACCAAAAGTTGCTGAAAACTGCAAATATTTTAGCTGAAAAGAACTCCTCGGATAAACTTTGTATACAAATTTTCACAGAAATAGTGCCAGTAGTTTGCTATATACATATAGACTCGGCTAGTCGTGACAGACCCAGTACATTAATAAAAATTTATTATTCATAAAATATTTTATAACAATTAATCATTAGTTTGTGTTACAGCATGTAAATAATTAGTTGGTGATTATTAAAAACAGAATGATTACAATTTTTAGATATCACTGAATACTTTCTGCCTCGTTTCAAACTTTGGTTTTCTTAAGAGTACTGATCATTATTTCCCTAGCTACTTGATAAATTCTCGTCTTTTTTAACTTTTTTTTCGTTTCTAGTCTTCATTTAGATGAATCATTAATTAATTATTTGTGTAGCTCTTCTTTTCGTCTTAAAAAATTGGGACCTTATTGTTCACAATTGATAGCGATGTTATTTGTGCCTTTTTGAGATAGCTGGAAGCTAATGGTTTTATCTTGGTAACCAAATTTTGTTGAACACACATCCTCTCCTGCATGATGACCTGGATGAATTCTTAAGAAATTCATAGCGGAATTATATAGCGGTATAGATCTTTTTTCCAATTCTTTACCTAGGTCAAGGATTGTTGCGATCCCTATGAATTCCTGTTTTCCCGATATACATTCGCGAATTCTAAATATTTGATTACAATTGTATTCTGTACAAAACCTTTGTGAAGAAGCTAACACGTGGTTATAATATTGGCTTTGAAGGAACCTGATTTTTTCGAGCAATAATTAAGGTAATTGTTATTATTGACTTGTTCCTTTGAAAGAAGTTTTAGCACATCGAGGAGAGTGAGGACGTGGTTCAGGTCTACAGTGACTATTAGTGATTAGGTTGAATGTGCATGCTAAGTGTCCATCGAGGGAAGGTGAAGGACAATTAAAGAAATCAACTAGAGCGTATTCTATGGCGAATTTAACAAAGTATGATTACAAAAAAAACTTGTTATTAATATTTTGTATAAAGACTAGCTCAACAAATTGTTCGTATGAATTGAGGCTAAATTTGGGCAAACCATATTAATGTTTTTATTCTGTCTATATACTGAAATAGGCATTTCGCGATCTCTTAAGATCTACACTTAGTAGTACTTTTTTAAGATTGTGAACACAGAAATTATAGGTTCACAACTTCTTTTTGTGATACTGAATTCCAGTTGTAAGTTCATCTTCAAATGTTTGAACATAATGTCTGTTTTATTCTAACTCTTCTTCTGTCGTAGAGTTTGAAATTGAAAGATGAAACAGTAATAATACTCGGAAACACATTGATAACGCAAGCAATTTTAAACAGTTGCTCGACTGTGGTAACTAGAGTCCGTGGATAAGGAGGAAATGTGTTCCAACTATCACAGCTTGTTTTCATCGCTGATTCCTTTTTTGATACAGTTGAAGAGTTCAAGATGAACGTGTCTTATCCAAAACTATTCGAATACGTATCTCAATAATTTCGTCAATACTGTATAAAGGTCTATGGCAAATATTATGTGTTTGGTTATTAAATATGGCAAAGTAAGGAATACGTCTTAATGTTCCGTGTGTGCGGTTTTTAAGATACTTCATATCAATATTTGTAACTTTTAAATTTTGATGGGAATATTCTTTGCACGTATTTTCTCAAAATATCTGCAGTAACAAGAGGGGCCAAGTCGACGAGCAGAAACTCGTTTCTTTGTATATCTGTACTTTTCAAAGTTTGGTTCGCCATAAAGTGAGAAATAAGGTAGTTGTTTCATTTAACTCTCCACTTTAAAACCGCACACCTGAAAGTTTTCAATTCTACGAAAGTTTAAATGTGTAGTGATTTCAAGAAACTTTTTTTTCAATCGATGGAGTCTTACAACAATAAATTTGAATTCATTGAATGACATTAATTGGTGGTTTTAAAACACTTTAATTAAAAAATATACAAAGATTTATTTACTCCGCGTAATATAAAACTTCGAGTTTTAATTAAACTTTAGTTTACTTTAAAACTTATCCGTGTCTCTACAAATTACAACCAACATCATTGCTAAGTTTATTAAAACTTTAGAATTTTCGTTAATTTTAATTCTATAATTTCTAATTAACCCGTTCTAGTATCGAATTTGCGTCTCAAAGTTTTAATTAAATTTTTTTTGTCGTCAAGAGAATTCGTTTTTGTATAATGAACAAAGACTCATATATAACAATGAACCTCTCTGACGCTACCAAAGCTTTCAACCTTTTTTTAATTTTAACCTCCTTTTTTTATTTTTATTTTTTAATTTTATTTTTATCTCCCCTTCATTTTTCATCGCGATATGTATATTTTTAAATTTTTTTTTTTGTATGTTGCAGGTGAGGACGGTGAAAATGCACCTGTTCACGTTCGTGCAGATCTTTTGCTTGACCGTTTTATGGGTCGTCAAGTCGACTAAAGCATCTTTAGCTTTTCCATTTTTCCTCATCTTATTGATTCCATTACGATCGCAATTGAATAAAATTTTTACACCTGTAGAATTACGAGGGGTAAGTATTTAAGTATAGTAAAAATCTTAATATAACGGATTAATACGGGAAAGAAAGTGTCCGTTTTAGTCAAAAAAAAATTACTTTAATGAACACAAATTCGAACAGCTATCTACACCGTTGTGTTCTTTATTAGTTAGTTCTACTTATAGTTTAATAAAAGTATACAACAATTTAACGCTGAATAACAACTACAAGTAGAACTAACACTAGACCTAGAACTAGAAACATTCGTACGTCTCTTAAGGCGGCTAAACCTGACCGTTTCTAGTTCTAGGTCTAATGTGAGTTCTACTTCTAGTTCAATAAATATATATAATAATCTAGTGCTGAATAACAACCAAAACCAGAACTAACATTAGACCTAGAACTAGAAAGATTCAGGATTAGCCGTACGTCTCTTCAGACGGCTAAACCTGAACGTTTCTAGTTCTAAGTCTAATGTGAGTTCTACTTCTAGTTCAATAAATATATATAACAATCTAGTGCTGAATAACAACTGAAACTAGAATTAACACTAGCATTAGAACTAACATTAGACCTAGAACTAGAAACATTCAGGATTAGCCGTACGTCTCTTAAGACGGCTAAACCTGAACGTTTCTAGTTCTAGGTCTAGTGTGAGTTCTACTTCTAGTTCAATAAATATATATAATAATCTAGTGCTGAATAACAACCAAAACCAGAACTAACACTAGACCTAGAACTAGAAACATTCAGGATTAGCCGTACGTCTCTTAAGACGACTAAACCTGAACGTTTCTAGTTCTAGGTCTAGTGTGAGTTCTACTTCTAGTTCAATAAATATATATAATAATTTAGTGCTGAATAACAACTGAAACTAGAACTAACCATAGCATTAGAACTAACATTAGACCTAGAACTAAAAACATTCAGGATTAGCCGTACGTCTTTTAAGACGGCTAAACCTGAACGTTTCTTGTTCCAGGTCTAGTGTGAGTTCTACTTCTAGTTCAATAAATATATATAACAATCTAGTGCTGAATAACAACTTAAACTAGAACTAACACTAGACCTAGAACTAGAAGGTTTTGGGTTTAGCCATGCGCCTGAAGACTGAATAATTAGTTGTTATACTAATTAGACTAGAACTAATACTAGCATTAGAACTAACACTAGATCTAGAGCTAGAAACATTCGGGTTTAGCCGTCTTAAGAGACGTACAGTTAAACTTGAATGTTTCTAGTTCTAGGTCTAGAGTCAATTCAACTTTTAGTTCAATAAAAATATACAACAGAACTAAACTACACTATCCTATATACATCGTACTAAGTTAGTAGTTCTACCCTTCTGAGTCCGTTCTAATCCGTTATATTGAGGTTTTACTATATTTATATTACTTTTTTTAATATTTATTAAAAAAAAATAATAATTTTAAAAGTTTATTTTAAAATAAGTAAGTTTTTAAATTTTAAACTCAAGTTTTCAATTTCTAAACTATCTCTTCTCCGTCAACGTCATCCTTATCTAAAACGCCGTATATTTAAGATAATTCATTATCGGTCACAAGTAAGTTATTGTTGTCATTTTGGTATTCTGGATTCTTAAAATATCTCTTTAAACATTTTTTTGTTGGAAGGAAACAACAATGATTGTTAAAATATTTTCAAATAATGCAATATTTTGAATCGTTCAAATCTATTAATTTATTAATTTTTTTAACCGCGAAAGAATTTGTAGGAAACGGATAAAAGCATCTCACTTTTTTTTAGGGTCTAATTAAAATTACAAACATTTTACACATCCGTAAATAGCTTGGTTTATAACGACAGACACTCTCTGTATAGACTTTGAACATCTGGCGTTGTAACATGTGTATGAAAATGAAAAGAAAAATAAAGAGGAGCTTTAAAGAATATATTACCACATCTTCTAAAAACATAAAAAGGAATTTGTTCTTAATTTAATTTTTTTAATTTGTTTTTTTGATTTGATTTATTGAGTATTTTTAAAGTTGTGTGGTAACAGTTATTAGACCATTTCGAAATCCAGTTAGACGGCACTAAAGAAATCCGAAACGCGACGCAACACATCGATGGCTTTGGCTTTTCCGCTCGACGTGCTCCCATGTAGTAATTATTATCGGATGGAAAATGAACCGGAACCAAAACGATATTAAAAATTCGCATTTCAATTCGATTTACCGTTTATTTTCCTTTCAAGTTGTCGTATGAAATACTAATTATATACTTTAAAGTTTTTTAATCTTACAAATTTAATTTAATTAATTTTTTACAATTAAAGCATTAATTTGTTAAAACGCAATTTAAAATTAGAATCCAGGAAGTCCATAGATTATTTTTCTCCGCCTCTATAAACAAAGTTTTGGCACCCAACAGCTGTTCTTAGTATTTAAAACCAAAGATTTGGGAATGAATTGTATAAAATTTCAATAAGTGGGAGTTCTATTTAACTTAATATCAACAACCAGCTGGTTCTTTTTACGTTTATTTTTAGCTTCTTGTGGTCTTTAGAAGGTGCTCACTATCTACCCAGGTAAATATTTGAGATGACTTTGAGTTTCCTGGTTGTGTGAATCATCAGTCGTATAATTTATAACTTATTCCGTAACTACTAAGAAAAAAGGAAGTGGGTTTTTCCATCAGATAAAACTCTCTCTTATCTTTTGGTTATTTTTTCTTATGTTGAAAATATAAAATTTTTTATTTTCACAAAATTTAATATTAATTTTTTTTTGTAGCTCGATGGTGAACAACCGGATTTGGACGATGATGATGAACCCGATTTTTACGTCGAAGCAACGCTTCCAGGATAAACCATTTAAAAGAAAAACAACTTTAAAAAAGATCTTTAAAGGAATTTTTAGAAGACATTTTTAGAAATCTTTAAAATATCATCAGTTTCTGATTCGGATAAGATCGAAACTGAAGTTTTAACGAAAAGAAAAAATATGATCAGTTTTTAACAGAAACCAGTATTAATTGTGCCCAATAATAATATATTTTTAAATGATTTTACTTAATTTTACCTTTTTTAGTAGTAGATGCAACAGGATTATGTATAAAATAGATTATATTTTAATTATGGATGAGGGTATATAGTTACTTATTATAGTTATTAATTAAAAAGAAATATTTGTGCAGTATTAGAACTATTATCAAAGAAATGAAAAAAATAGTTTGCAGTATTACTTCCTTTTTAATCTAGATTGTGATCGCTTGTGTCTCTGAATTGTTTCAAACTATTGATATTTAACGATCAAAATTTGTTTAGTACAAAACAAAGATATCGTGTACTTAAAAGTAAACTTATGATATTGTTCAAAATACTGTTAAAAGTATCATAGTTAAGAGTTTCAAACAGACAAAAACCCTACATTTCTGGCACTATTAGAACGTAAATTGTTGATATATCTAAGATTTCGAAGTAATACTGTTTCCAGTAGGAGTAGAACTAAAACGAATTTGACCCGCTAGAGATAGGTTTTAAGAAGAAATCGTTGAAACAAAATTAGAATTTGTTCTTTATTTGTTCGTTCTTTTTTTCTATTATATTTCATTTTCTTAATATTTTAAAACATTGAGGCTTTGGTTAATTAATGAGATACAGAACAAATCTTTAAACGTAGATTTTAAGCTAGAAAGAATATTTATTTGTGAGGATAAATAGTATTTCTAACTGTGATTTAATAAAAATGTCTATTCTATTTCTATAATATTATATTCGGAATAATAAATATTATTTCATTTCAAATTGTGTTTTATTTCCTTTATAGTTTATATTAAAAATTTTATAAATGATTAGTAGGCAACCCAATTTGTTGGTTTTCATAATATATTTAGTATAGTAAAGCTTAATATACAGAATGATTCTCAAGATATACGCATATACTTGGGAATTTACTCCTCATGAAGAAAAATGACTAATAGGCGAAAAAATTTGTCGTAAAAGCTTTTCTGTTTCAGTCATTATTTGTTGATGGTCGAGAATCACCCCTGTACTTATATTGTATATTGTACGTATGTACTTTCATGTGGGGGTGAATCCCTTCACAGCACTTAGGCCCCAGCGGGCCCTTTGTACATCTCTACAATTTACAGTTCATTCCGTGGTCAGAAAACCAGCCTCTTAAACGTCATCAATTTTTATCAATGCTTATTAAATTAAAAAAATTTTATAGTTTATACAAGCATACTTACATAACTGTATGATTTAAAATAAAGTCAGTTTAAAACTAATCTTTATTGAAGTAACATTAGACCTGTTTTGGTTCAAAAGTTCTGTAGTTCCAAACAGTTCTGAACCTTTCTGCGCACACTTACAGCATAACAATGTTTTTTATGGTATATGTTCTTCCAAAACTCTTTATAAACTTATTCTTTGTATTTTTTTTAAGTATCATCGTATACTAAAAACATTAAGCTTTTAAATTTCAGTATGTTTATGTGTTAATATACAATATGAAATAACTACTATAAATATAGCAGCTAATGAGGTCATCGACTTCAAAAAACTTGTCAGAAATGTTGTAATCTGCACTGATAGCAGACAGACTATGCTGGCGCATAGTAGGCATCGAACTACGTCATCGTTAGTGAAGTCCCGTCCGTAATCACTTGAGGAGGCTAATGTTTATAACAACGTCACGATAAAGTGGCGGAAAGGACATACCGGAAATAGGAAACGTTTGTACCGCTAAGTTTTAATACAGCAATACTACTGATCAACTTCATCTCCCATCGAGCTTTCTTCGATAGATGGGATGAGACGGCAGTAGGTGTCTTTGCAAAGAAAAGTCCGTTCTCGGCACCAAAACATACTCCATCATGTTGGTTAAGCATGTTCTGAATCCTAAGTTGATGTACCAAAAATCGAGTGTTCTCTGATTTTTTGAACAAATATCTGCTAGAGCAGATTTTTTTAGAAAAAATCGAATAACTCGAGGACGGCTGAATCAAATTGCAAATAGTAAAGTTATTCATAAACCTTGAAAATAGACAAACCCAAATATGTAAAAATATATAGGTGTCCCATTTAAAAAAATAAAGTTGGTAACGACTTCCGGTATAACAGGAATTGCTAGAAATATGAAAATATTTTAGACGAAGAGAACGCAATTGATTATACTTAAATCTGAATTCTCAAATCTTTATTTTGTCCAGAACCCCAGAAACTTCTAATGACCGGTCTGACACATTTAGTGGATGTCCACATTTTTAGTGTTTTATTTTGTTATTATTTTTGTTATCTTTACTTACTTAAGCAACAGAAACTCGAAATTATGACGTTCGGATAAACACCCGGTTATTTATCCATTTTAATAAGTAAGTCATATTGTTTGCGACGGACGGTCCCAACCAGTGTTGCCATATGTACGGCAAATGGGTTTATATTAAATTCCAAGGTTTATATATTAAAAGGTTGTCTAAGTTCCTATGCTGCAATACTTTGATTTTATTTTGTGGGCGAGGGGCAAGAGCAGGAGAGTTTCGTGACGTAAGCGATCACGGATTGCGCACGCAACCTCATGGCCATGTGGTGCTCCATGCATTTGTTTAATTTGAATTGCTTGGCGGTATTATTTTCCACATGTGACGTAATGCGCAGTATGGTTGCGTACGAACCTAGACAATCTTTTATATATAAACCTTGCGGTAATTCCACTAAATGTACGGTGTACGATCCAAAGGTGAATACCGTACAGAAATGTAATAAGGTAATTTAGAAATCTGTATTTTAATTTAATCTTCGAGCGGGCGCGCCGTCATAAAATTTATGACAATTTTTGTTTTTATAACATATCTCCTTCTATTATGGGATGTATTAAGGCATATAAATATATTATAAAGAGGTTTTGAGTCATACATGAAGGTTTCGGATAGTTTGCACATTTTTGAAAAATACAGGTCCGTAATGACAATTTTGTCGGAATCGAAATTTTTTTCATTTTTTCAATATTTCAACCTTTTCGGTTTTTCGTAAGTTTGTGGAAATATTCAGTATGTTCAAAGGCTTAACACGGCTAAACCTGAATTTTTCTAGTTCTAGGTCTAGTGTTAGTTTTAATTATTGTGCAGCGCTAAACCAACAGCTAGAATCATTCGGGTTTAGCCGTCTTTACGTCTTAATTAAATATTTTTACTCTAGTAAAATGTGTGTTTTATTAAAAATAACGCAATATTTATTAATACGGACGTGATGTCATAATAGTATATTAAAAAACAAGTTTCGTAAGACACGCTTGAAATGCACGAATTCAAGTTGAAAAACGAGTGACGAAGCCACGAGTTTTTTAATGAATGAGTGCTTTAAGTCTTATGAAACGTGTTTTTTATGCTATTTTTTGTAATTCGCGTTTTTATACTTTTTTTTAACAGAAATAAAGTAAATTTTGGCAATGTAGGGAAACAGGTATGTAGCAGTTGGTAACACCGGAACACTTGAAAATAGAAACTTTGAATTGACAATTAGAAACTGTCAAAACACAAAATATATTCACCTGAAAAAAATGTTTGATGTACACCTCCCAAAATAAGAGAAATTGCTCAGAGTCAATGTCCTCATCATTGTGGACCTTATATTCGATGCTAAGAACGTGTTTAAACATTCATAGACAAAAATTGTCACATTGACAACTAGAAAAATTAATGACCCAATGCTACCAACTTGAACTGGTTCCATAAAATGTTACTAAAATCTCATTACAGCATCGGATGCTGTAAGGAGTCTCATTACAGCACCCGTTTGAGTACTGTTATAGCTTCCATTACCGTAGCGAATTACAAAAAATTTATGACACGCGCCCGTTCGAAGGTTAAGAAAATACGTATTATACGCAGGATGGCCACGCGTTAGATGGCATGGTAACAGGTGGCGTAAAATGCTGTAAAGACAAAAACCACAATATTTTCGTTGGTTATATTGGCGTATAATATTCTTATGTATTTATGTCTATTCTAATTCTGTGTTTAAGTTTTATAATATTTTGCTCATGTCCGCTCTGTATCACAGGTGACCCGAATCTCAAAGTCAAGCAGGTACCGCGCGAGAAATAAAAATAATATGAGATTAATTTTATCCATTGTATCAGGCGTAAAATTTATACAACGAATTCACTGTATTTTAACTGGTTTAATGTATGATTTCATTTTTCTTACTAGTTTCGCCTAAAGCGGCATCTTCAGAGACTTCGTAAAATTTTATGAAAATAACAATTTCAAAGATAATTATATCGAACATTGTATAAAACGAGGTAAAACTTGATAAACTTTTTAAACTATTAATTCCGATATGTATGTCTCAGACGTAGTTCAACCATTTTGATTTTAATGTGTATAATCATATGCAGGTACATTTCAATAGAAACGTTTCAATCAAACATAAAAAGGGCCAGACATTAGCAGTTTCAGACACGTTTCAACTATGTTTCAGAAATATGTCGAAGAAACATTCCATGTTTCAATAATATGTATCAGAAATGTTTCTGAAACGCAAATTTGTTTACTGGGATACAATGTAAGTATTAACGTGTAACAGTTAACGTGTAAAACATTTCGTTAATTATTATCTTTGAAGTTGTTATTTTCATAAAATTATGACCAAGTCTCTGAAGATGCCGTTATATATTAAGTGATAATAGACATATTTGTGAAAATGTTAAAAATCGTTCCCGTAGATCATATCNTTTTGGCAAATTTCACAGTTAAATAATTTTTCTTTCGTATGAACGATCATATGTTTCGTCATATTATGAGCTTGTTGAAACCGATTTCCACAAACAGCGCAAACGTAAGGTTTTTCCCCTGTGTGAACTCGACTATGTCGTTGTAAATCACAGGGTTTTCGAAATTGTTTTTTACAATCTTTACAGGTAAATACTTTTGAATGAGAAGCACTTCCGTAAGGTCTCAATTCGTGAACATCTAAATGTTTTTGACAATCGGCTTTAGTTTCAAATGCTTCATGACAAATTGAGCATGTGTAAGGTAATTTACCTTCATGTCCACGTAAATGAGCAGTTAATGCTTCAAGATTTGGAAATCGATCCTTACATTTCATACAAGTGTAAGGTAAAGGACCTTCGTGTTTAACCCTATGTTTTTGGAGAAGAGAACGATTTAGAAATCGTACCGAACAGATTTTACAAATAAAACTAAATAAAAGTAATTTTGGATGACAATCGGATAAATGTTCATTATAACCATCTTCTAATTCGAATTGCAACTGGCATAAATCACAACGTATTATATCATACTCAATTACATGAGTTTCATTAATTACTTCTAAATCAATTTGGTTGTTATTACCTAAGCTATCGTCGTTATTATTAGTCGTTTTTCTTGTTGGTAAACTATCAGCTATCGGATTTGTACGTCAGTATATGTGTAGTAAGTTTAGCGTTCATTTACATGAAGAGTGGTTTGCGAAATATCAAAATAAATCATTATACTGTTCACCTCATTGATGCGTTTTTGCACCAATTTTAGTTTAAATATTTTTTAGATTAAACTTCATACTTGATTGGTTGGTATTTGTTAGTATTATGTTGTGTTACTATTATTACTTATTTATGACTAACTTATTACTTAGTTAATAAATGATAATCAAAAAATTTTGGTGTTGTTCATTTATCTTACCAGTGGTGCATTTTTGCACCATCTCATAAAACAATTTTTATTCAAATAGCTGTGTATATTTTTATACTTCTCATTCCATCTTATCTCAAGAAAAATTATAAAAAAACCGATTTTTTTAAATATAAAGTAGCGTGGGACTAAATGGGTTAAAAGATTTAATTTTGATGGTGGCGGAGTCCTTATAGCTGCGAAGCATGGCTTTCATACCGTTCCCATGCCGAGTCTGCAAAGTGGTGCGGAGGATTTGTGATTGAAAGTTCAGTGCGGTCAACTAATCTTTCTCTTGTGCTGTGTTTATCTTCCTTCTTCTGCTGATGAAGCGCTGAATCTGTTTTTGTCCAGGTTATCTGCTGTGCGCGATGCCTACCCGGATATTATGATTGTTATTATATAGGTGATTTCAATATGCCAACTATCTCTTGGTCTATGTTTGAAGATGATGTATTAATTCCCACGGGGAATTTCGACCGTCGCGAAATTGATTTTCTTAACATTTATTCATATTGTAATTTTAGTCAATTTAATAATGTATCGAATATTAATAATAGAATTCTTGATCTTGTTCTATGCGCTAACGGTCGAGTCGAAAGCATACACCTCTGCAACGATCCACTTGTGGATGATCCTGACTGCCACCATCCACCGTTTGAATTCTTATTATCAGGCATGTTCACTTGTCTGAGTGATGGTCCGAATGTTCGCTTTCTTTTTAAGAACGCGAATTCCGGAGCTATCAAGTGTTTCTGAAATAGTATCGATTGGCAGACTGTTTTTGCTGGGATGGGCGTGGAGAGCATGGTTGAAGTTTTCTATGACCGCGTTAATTATGTAATTAAGAGACGTTGCTAAGCGCTTTCTGCCTAAGCAACGTTTTCCTTACTGGTACAAACGTTCAACTATTCGTGTCATTAAAGAAAAGCTACTTTACCATAAAAATGGAAATCTACTCGCCATAATAGTAATTACTTGGCTTTCTCTATCTTGCGCTCCAGGTCTAAGAGGCTTATTGCGGCTGATTATAGAGATTACTTAAACTCGATTCGGGCGGGGGTTATGGAAAATCCCAAAGGAATCTGGGCCTTTGTTAAGTCCAGGAAAGGGGATGCGTTTGGCTTGCTAGCCGCTATGTTTTCCGTTGATGGCTCAATGGTGACCTCAGATCCTGATATCTCTTGTGCATTTGCAGAGTATTTCGCCTCGGTTTTCGTAGATGGTAGTATTGATCGTTCAATGGTCTTCGGTGGCCTGGGTGTTTCACATTGGTTCTCTGCTGACACAGTCCTTAATGTTTTGACCCATCTTGACAAGTCCTCTGGCTCTGGTCGGGATGGTATTCCATCTTCCTTTTTGAGGGAGTTTGCTGCCGAACTGTCGACCCCACTTTTTCTTATTTTTTCAAAATCTTTACTCGAAGGTACGTTTCCGCGCGCGTGGTAGACAGCTTTTGTCGTTCCAATATTTAAATTAGGAAATAGACAGTTGGTATCTAATTACCGTCCAATTTCTATTATCTCGTCTATTCCCAAGGTTTTTGAAGAAATTGTTTGCGATTAATTTAACCACCCTATTGCCCACTCTCTCATTACTGAACAACATGGTTTCTTGTCTGGAAGATCGGTTGAGTCTAATTTAGTGTCTTATGTTAATTTTATTCATTCTACCTTAAATGAATTCTTATACAAAGCTGTCTTCCTTTAACATTCCTGCCGGCATTGTACGCTGGATAATGTCATATCTTTCTGACAGAAGTCAGGCAGTTAAGATGGGTAGCTTTTTGTCGGACTACAAACCCATCTCATCTGGTGTGCCTCAAGGAAGTCACCTTGGGCCCACATTATTTCTAATTTACACAAACTACATTTCTTCTTGGTTTAAATTTTCCAAATTCCTGCTCTATGCGGATGATAATAAAATATTTACTAGAGTCAGCTCTAGTCATGACAGCCTGAGGCTCCAGGAGGACCTTGATCGTCTACATGATTACTGTCGCGTTAACAAACTTTATTTGAACTATGACAAATGCCAAAAAATAACGTTTACATGGAAACGCTATCCTATTAATTTTAATTACAACTTTAATGGTAGACCTATTATCTCTACTGACAGAGTGAAGGATCTTGGCATTATACTTGATGCCAAATTGAGATATCAGCTTCACATCGAAGTCATGGTGACGAAAGCCCTGCGTAACCTAGGGTTTGTTATCAGAATAAGTAGACAGTTTACCAATTTTACAAGCATTAAATCTCTTTATATGGCATTTGTTAATAGCGTATTATCCTATGGTTCCATAGTGTGGAATCCTATGTACGCGGTCTATCGTGATCGCATCGAAGCGGGTCAACGACGCTTTGTACGCTATCTGGCTTACAAATATCATCTTCCCTATTGCGATTACGATAGACGCTGTGTGGTTTTTAACTTCTTATCCCTGCGGCAGCGTCGGCTAGTCTCTGACTTAATCTTTCTTTTCAAACTGGTCAATGGCTTGCTGGACGCACCTGACCTTCTGTCTGTGTTGAAGTTTAATGTACCACAGCGTTTCACCCGGCGGAATACAACATTCCTTTTAGGCACATCGAACATGAACGCTCATCAAAACTCGCCTATTGTTCGGCTTTTGAATACTTAGAATCAGAACTTCAACCATGTTACTCTATTTGGACTCTCGTTGCGCTCATTTAGAGAATTACTATTACGAAACGTTTAGTTGTTAACTTCTGTATTGTAGTGCAATTATATAATATTTTTCGCTTTTTTTTTTGTAATTTTTTTTAATTAGCAACTATTCACTGCTGTTATTATTATTTTACATAGTTAATGTTATAATTATTGTTATTTTTTTTCCGTTTTTTTGCTTAGTATGTAGTTAACTGCTTTGTTTTTATGAGGATGCTTCGCTGGGGATATCCTCCCTGTTTGTGTCCCAATAATAAATAAATAACCTATAATTAAATTAAATAACAAATAAAACATAACGCAAAATTTAATCAAAAATCTTTATTTGAGTAAAAATGTATATAAAAACTAACATTACATTGTATATTATGTATAAGTTATAACCTAAATAAAAAGAAATTAAAAATATTACTACTAATATTCACTAGTTACATGTTTGTATAGAATATAAAATATATCCTCGTTTAAAGAGAAGAAATATCCCATTATTTCATTTTTTCTTATTCCAGTATAAGTAACAAAGATATTTAAAAGCATCTGGAAGCTCAATACTTTTTTATATATCAATAAAATTTCCATTTAGTTATTCANGTAACAGTTAACGTGTAAAACATTTCGTTAATTATTATCTTTGAAGTTGTTATTTTCATAAAATTATGACCAAGTCTCTGAAGATGCCGTTATATATTAAGTGATAATAGACATATTTGTGAAAATGTTAAAAATCGTTCCCGTAGATCATATCTTTAGCTACTACGGCCAGAAAGGTTCGCAATTTAATAGTGATAATAGTGAAAAAAATTTTAGTTTGATTGAGTTAAGGTTGAAACAACTTATGTACGGAAAAAAAGGAGTAATGCTTGGCAAGTAATTTTAAAAGATGACCTGTTTAGTCAAAATTCTAAAATGGTACAACAGTTGCCATTTTTCTTTTCAATAAAAATATTATTGCCTGTTCTTTTTTTGGAAAAAAACACGTTATTTTAAAATTTTATACTTTCATATGCTATTTGTATTTTCTCCAAAATACTCAATATTTACGGAGAAACGTGGATTTAACAAGATAGTAAAAAACTATTAGTTATTTTGTTATAATTAAAATAACTTTTTACCTATTTGTTTGCACAGTTCATTTTATAGAATTTATTTCGCAAAAGCTTTTGTATCACTATCATTTTTAGTACAAGTACGGTATTTTTACATAAAATACGGTAATTTTCGTTTTCAAGTACGGTATTACATTCTCCACTGTGTGGCAACACTGGTCCCAACCTCGCGTACTTAAGGAAATCCCAAATTTTGGACATAGAGAACACACCTTTCTGTTCTACAGTGTGTCCCCGGATTGTGTCCCCGTAAGGTATAATTGACGATAAATTTTTGAATTCAAATTCTATCTTTTACAATTAAAGTCTGGATGTCACAAAACGAAATATAACCAAGTTTTACGTCAAATGTCCTCAAACTACCAAAGTTAACGCAAGAAGTTTGTTAACCGTTACAGGTAAAGTGGTCTTTCTGAGCAATGTACAACAAAAATTGATTAAGATAAAATGTTTGTTATGTTAAATTATAGCCATATGCGGAATTTTATTAATTTAGCGCATAAAAGAAAAAATGAGTTTTTTCTTGAAAATTTTTTTCTAATATTCCGTTTTACAATAAAAACAAATGATCTGAGTGAACTACCAATTATCATTTGATAGCTTAGCTTTAGCCTATTGTCTATTGTGCCTATTGTTAGATTAATTGATCATGTTTACATTACAACATAAAATATTTATAGTGCAGTGCTATGGATTGGCGAACATTAGTTACAATGCAGTTTTAAGGCAATTTGAGGAAAAATTTGGATTTTTAGTACTACAAAAACAATTAAGAGAATTGTTAAAAAAAATTCAGAAACAGGCAATGTGGAAAATAAAAGGAAGGAAAAATAGCTTTTAGATGAACATGATGCGGGGTCGATTGTTGCAGTAACGAACGCAATGGATTACGGTAAAGTATCGTTAAGAAAAAGGGCAGTTCAAGTCGGTATAAGTAAATCCCATGTATACAAAGAATTTATCGAGAAAATAAAATATTGCCGTATAAACCAAAATTTAACCACACTATCGAATTAGGTGATGAAGCAAAACGTTTAGATTATTGTTTGTGGCTTGGGTATAAAATTTTGAAATACAGAACTTTTTTAAAAAGCATAATATTTTCGGACGAAGCATCGTTCACCACTAATGGAGTGGTTACATCACAATATTGTCGATTCTGGTCAAAGACTAATCCACATTATCACATAGCTTGTAAACGCCAGTATTCCCAGAAAGTGAATGTGTGGTGTGCTGTTTCTTGAGACGGTGTTATTGGACCTTTCTTCATAAACGGCAATTTGAATCAACACCGATATTTGGAAATACTAGAAAATTGTTTATTTAATTATCTTCACGGCGCCGGCGTGGATTTAGAAAAATGCAATAAATTATATTATCAACAAGATGGTTGCGGCCCACATTCGACTATTTTAATTAGAAATTATTTAAATACGTTATTTGGAAAAAATTGATTGATAGATGTGGTCCGCAACCATGGCCGCCAAGAAGTCCGGATTTAACTATTATGGATTTTTATTTTTGGGGTTATGTAAAACAAAAAGTGTACACTGAAAATTTTAATAACAATTTAGACCGTTTCAAACAAAAAATTGAAACTGTTATTAGAGAAATTCCGTTGGACCATATTTGAAAAAGTTATAAACAATGTCGGAAAAGGGCTGAATTATGTGTTAGTGTTGGTGGTGGTATCATTGAAGAAGCTTTTATGTTAATTTAGTTTAGATCGAAAATGTTTTGTTAATCTTATGATTTAAAAATCTGCATTTTGCTTTTATATCCTAAATTAATAAAATTCGGCATATCGCTATAATTTAACATAACAAACATTTTATCTTAATCAACTTTTGTTGTACATTGCTCAGAAAGACCACTTTACTTGCAACGGTTAACAAACTTCTTGCGTTAACTTTGGTACTTTGAGGACATTTAACGTAAAACTTGGTTATATTTCGTTTTATGACATCCAGACTTTAATTGTAAAAGATGGAATTTGAATTCAAAAATGTATCGTCAATTATACCTTACGGGGATACACTGTATATTAATGTTCATTAAAACCTTGGGCTGGTTTCTTGACCCCTGAATGAACTGTGAATTGTGGGGCTGTATAAAGGGCCTGGAATTCACCCCCACATGAAACTACATACATAGTGTTATCAGATCTTGGTCCTTAACATGAGAAGTGGTTGTTTAATAGAATAGATTTATAAAAAAACAATTTACATTAAAACATTTAATAACTTTTAATTAAATTAAACAAATAAAACATAAAATTTAATCAAAAATCTTTATTTGAGTAAAAATGTATATAAAAACTAACATTACATTGTATATTATGTATAAGTTATAACCTAAATAAAAAAACCTAAATATTAAAAATATTACTACTAATATTCACTAATTACATGTTTGTATAGAATATAAAATATATCCTCGTTTAAAGAGAAGAAATATCCCATTATTTCATTTTTTCTTATTCCAGTATAAGTAACAAAGATATTTAAAAGCATCTGGAAGCTCAATACTTTTTTATATATCAATAAAATTTCCATTTAGTTATTTATTATTCAAGGCAATAATCTCAGTGGTTACAAGTAATTAGGCACTTGGGGATACATTTCTTTTTTAAAATGATTTCATTCCATTTTTCTTTTTTGGTAAGTTGAGTAACATCGTTTTGAAATTTAAATACAACATTTTTTCATATGTTTAGTTAATTGTTGAACTCTAGCGAATGTTTTAATACATCTCTGACACGAAAAAGGCTTAGTAACAGAATGAGTTAACATGTGACGTGTTAAAACATCTTTTCTACCAAATTTTTTTTGGCAAATTTCACAGTTAAATAATTTTTCTTTCGTATGAACGATCATATGTTTCGTCATATTATGAGCTTGTTGAAACCGATTTCCACAAACAGCGCAAACGTAAGGTTTTTCCCCTGTGTGAACTCGACTATGTCGTTGTAAATCACAGGGTTTTCGAAATTGTTTTTTACAATCTTTACAGGTAAATACTTTTGAATGAGAAGCACTTCCGTAAGGTCTCAATTCGTGAACATCTAAATGTTTTTGACAATCGGCTTTAGTTTCAAATGCTTCATGACAAATTGAGCATGTGTAAGGTAATTTACCTTCATGTCTACGTAAATGAGCAGTTAATGCTTCAAGATTTGGAAATCGATCCTTACATTTCATACAAGTGTAAGGTAAAGGACCTTCGTGTTTAACCCTATGTTTTTGGAGAAGGGTACGATTTAGAAATCGTACCGAACAGATTTTACAACTAAATAAAAGTAATTCTGGATGACAATCGGATAAATGTTCATTATAACCATCTTCTAATTCGAATTGCAACTGGCATAAATTACAACGTATTATATCGTACTCAATTACATGAGTCTCATTAATTACTTCTAAATCAATTTGGTTGTTATTACCTAAACTATCGTCGTTATTATTGGTCGTTTTTATTGTTGGTAAACTATCAGCTACCGGATTTGTAAAATCTAAACCCAACCCTTTCATAAACCGCATTTTTGTGTGAACATATCTAGTAAAAGATTCCTCATTTTTTTTCTTCTTTTTCATTGTGGTTTTCTTTTGAACGCGAGTACTTTGTCGTTTCTTTTCTTCGACGCAAGTACGGGTCTCACGATTTCTTGAGTTCACTTTGGCGGCGGCGGTGGAAGCGTGTTTGCGTTTATGATGGCGTTTTCTCGACTTGGTTGTAGCCATTTTCTCCGTTAAAACCGTTAAAACACTGTAAGGAAGCGATTAGTAAATGTTTATCGAGGGCTTGTTATCAACTTACCAAAAAAAAAGATTAAATAAAGTTTCAAAAAAAGGTAGATTACGGGGTTTCCTCACATATTATTACATGATTTCTAAACAATGCGTTTTGGTGGGTTGGTTTTCTCAGATTTCTGTTAATGAAAAAGTGTTGACAGCGACATCTATTCTTAAGTAGATGTAATAATATAAATTAACATTAATTATTTAAAAGTTATTAAAGTAAATGTTTCGTAACACAATTAGTTATTTACGTTAATTTTTTTTAAATATTTCTAAAAATATATCATTTTTTTAAGTACATCTCCTTAGTTAACTAGTTACTATGTAATAAGAGGATACAATAAGGTTATCACTTATCACAGTAATGTTTTTTAACATTAAAAAAGTTATTATAGAGATTAGTTTAAATAAAGAGTTAAATTTTAATGTAAATTGATGAATTCATGGATTTTATATATCTTTAATCATTTCAAAAATTATTAAATTTCTGCATTACCTTTAGCAAATTAACAAATTGGGTTGCCTATGTCTTATTTACGTTCTTTAAATAAAGATAATGACGAAAAAAGTAAATCATTTTATTTTACGTACTTATTATTATTATTATTAATGATGTTCTTTCTCTTTGTGGTCTTAACCAACTAAACTACCATAAAAATTCTTCTTTAAACACACTTGATCTTATTATTACTCATTATACCGGTGTATGTCCAATATCTCTTTGTAGTGATCTATTGGTTCCTGAGAGCAGTGAGCTCTCCACTCTTGCGATTTCCTACTCAATTTTTCTGTATCATGCTCCGGATACCGATTTTTTTTAACACTCTTCTAATTTTCATATTTTTGAAAAATTTTCCACATTGATGCATCTGGGAGCATCATCTATTTAGCTCGTTCATCACTCATCATTACCTATACACAGTAATACTGGGTATCCGGCCATTTTTTACAATCCGGCCGGATACCAAATATTCGGCTTTGCCGGGATATTAAACACCTATTACTTAGTACTCCACCATTCACAGGAATTAGTATCTCTTTTAGGTGTTGGACACTGCAGGTAATAGTCAAGTTCAACCCCAATAGGACTTTTTTCATTGAATACAACTTTATTTACCATTAGCAACCTCATTGTAACAATCCCAATACGATATATAAAATCTCTTGTTGCAGTTTCGTCTAGTTT